CTGCTCAAATAAACCTACCATTAAAATTATAGACTGATCATGTCTTTGTCAGTGGGCAAACAAAATCAGCAGGGGATCAAATACTTTTTTCCCTCACTGTAACTGTACCTCAGTGTGTTGTTACTATTGCTGAGAACTCCACTGTGGTGGGATGGGGGCTGGTCTGAGTGTATGTGTGTATATTGAGGATGTGAAGTCACTGAGGGATTTCTGCTGTGATAATGGTGCTGTCATGGCCGACAGGGCCGACAGTGCCAGTTACATGGTTGATCAGCCGTGTAGTGGACCTCTCCTGGCTCCTCACACGCACCACAGTCCACACCGCAGCCATTATCAGTCAACTGTTTCCCTGATGAGCCTCAAAGAATTCTCCACCCGCCCATCCTTTACATATACAGTATCAGTCGCAACAGTAGGGCCATTTCAGGTGAAACATGACGCAGTACCTTAAACAATCCTGCAGAGGGCATTATATCAGTGCAGAGAATCAGAGAGAATAGAATTCAAGTACAGGAGTTGCCAGAGCAGCAGAGGTTTTAAAGGGTTGATTTTTACCAAGTGAATAAACATGTTTTCCGGCACAGGTTTATTTTCTCCCAACGTGACATGTTTTGATGTATGATGGTTGATTTTGCGTCTTCCTTTTTCAGGGCAAGAAAGGTGAAAGTGGATTACCTGGTGTTGACGGGCTACCCGGACCACTTGTAAGACTACTATTTTTAAGATTACTATTTTATTTCTATGTGCTATACATTGCAGGCACTCTTTATTGTGTTCTACTATAGTATCAGATCATTTACAGATATATTCCATGACGAAAAAATCTGTTGGAACATGAAAGCTATGTGTAACAGTATGATTGATTCTCTGCGTCATAAGATCTATTTTTGACACCATGAATGGAGTATGTGTCAGTTATCATCACATCTCTTAAACCTGGCTCTGGCTCATTCAATGACATTTCCTTCTGGATGTTAACTATTCACCATGGACCACATACCTGACGCTATTTCTCTCTCAGCACTAGCTTCACTAAACACCTCCACTGGAGGGAAAATACTTAATTCTCCACATTACATAAATTAATTAATATTCAATATCACTCTTAAAAGCAATAATTAGTTCCTTAGGGTCTGGAATTCCTCTTGACCATGTGACCACCCTACCAGCAGTGGTGGAAAAAGTACCCAATTGTCATACTTCAGTAAAAGTAAAGATACCTTAATAGAAAATGACTCAAGTAAAAGTGAAAGTCCCCCGGTAAAATATTACTTGAGTAAAAGTCTAAAAGTATTTGGTTTTAAATATACTTAAGTATCAAAAATAAATGTAATTGCTAAACTATAGTTAATTATCAAAAGTAAAAGTATAAATAATTTCAAATTCCTTATATTAAGCAAACCAGACGGCAACATTTTTATTGTTTACGGATAGCCAGAGGCACACTAACACAGACATCATTTACAAATAAAGTATTTGTGTTTAGTGAGCGCCAGATCAGAGGCAGTAGGGATGACCAGGGATGTTCTCTTGATAAGTGTGTGAATTGGAAAATGTTCCTGTCCTGCTAAGCATTCAAAATGTAACAAGTACTTTTGGGTGTCAGGGAAATGTATGGAGTAAAAATACATTATTTTCCTTAGAGAAGTAAAAGTAGTCAAAAACATAAATAGTAAAGTACAGATACCCCCCCCAAAATGTCTTAAGTAGTACTTCTAAGTATTTTTACATTTACATTTTAGTCATTTAGCAGACACTCTTATCCAGAGCGACTTACAGTTTAGTGAGTGTATACATTTTCATACTGGCCCTCCGTGGGAAACGAACCCACAACCCTGACATTGCAAGCGCCATGCTCTACCAACTGAGCTACAGGGGACTACTTAGTTACTTTACACCACTGCCTACCAGGAATAACTCATTGCCCTACTCATTATATTTCCACGACTTGGAGCTGACTGAATATCAGGCCAACCTAGAATACGATATTGTACATTACAATACTCTGCCATCTAGTGGCTGATCCTGGTACTGTATGTCTTGCCGGTTGGACTGAGGTTGATGACAGTCTTTATTGATGATGCTGTGTCTCTTTATAGGGTCCCCAAGGGCCTCCTGGAGGGCAAGGAAACCCTGGACAAACTGGACCTCCTGTGAGTTCTGTGCATCAACAATCCATTGAAGGCTGTACAGCAGTATACTGTCAGCAGTCATCCCAAAAGCTCATCCAAAGCAAATGGAACCCACATAGAGGAAATTGAAAAAAAAAATATATATATATATATTGTCCCTTTTCTTTGCTCAGGGTCTACCTGGCGAGATTGGATTTTCAGGGAAACCAGGAGAGCCAGGCAAAGCTGTAAGTTTACTGAATTTTTTTCAACATTTACATGTTACATGTTTGACATGTTATAATATGATTCACTAATGTAACATTGAGTTGTCGAAGTACTCATGTCCCAGACTTAACCCAATATTTATTGTTGGAAGGGTTTACCTGGAAACGATGGGCTGGATGGAGTTCCAGGAAATGACGGAGCCAAGGTCAGTGTAGTAGTAGTAGTAGTAGTAGTAGTAGTGATTAATGTTTCATAACCAACTGAATGTTTCAGGTTTTAATCCTCACTAACAGAAAGGAAACATCTAATAAAATGTAGCATTCCAAAGGCATAGAGGATGTTATTCTTACTGACATGGTTAGGTTCTCAGAATGTTGTCACATGGTAATGCCATGACCAACCTTCTTTCACAACCTGTTTGCAATGTTGTGACAACATTATGTGTTAGATAGGATAATATCTGATTCAATACCATAAATGTACCAAGCTGTGTTATTCATTCATCTCCATAGGGGCCTAGAGGAGAGTCTGGATTGGATGGCTTCCCTGGTAAACCTGGTCCTAAGGTACAGTGATACTACTCTTTGTCTGCGTCCACAATGGCACCCCTTTTCCTATATAGGGCACTCCATAGAGCTCTGGTCAGAAGTAGTGAACTACATAGGAATTACAGTAGGGTGCCATTTCAGATGCAACCTCTGTCTGGACACCCAGGCCATATCAATGGCACTTCATAAAAGTGATGCAGCAGACTAAAGTTTATACAGTGAGGGAAAAAAGTATTTGAATACCTGCTGATTTTGTACGTTTGCCCACTGACAAAGAAATGATCAGTCTATAATTTTAATGGTAGGTTTATTTGAACAGTGAGAGACAGAATAACAACAAAAAAATCCAGAAAAACGCATGTCAGAAATGTTATAAATTGATTTGCATTTTAATGAGGGAAATAAGTATTTGACCCCCTCTCAATCAGAAAGATTTCTGGCTCCCAGGTGTCTTTTATACAGGTAACGAGCTGAGATTAGGAGCACACTCTTAAAGGGAGTGCTCCTAATCTCGGCTTGTTACCTGTATAAAATACACCTGTCCACAGAAGCAATCAATCAATCAGATTCCAAACTCTCCACCATGGCCAAGACCAAAGAGCTCTCCAAGGATGTCAGGGAGAAGATTGTAGACCTACACAAGGCTGGAATGGGCTACAAGACCATCGCCAAGCAGCTTGGTGAGAAGGTGACAACAGTTGGTGTGATTATTGCAAATGGAAGAAACACAAAAGAACTGTCAATCTCCTTCGGCCTGGGGCTCCATGCAAGATCTCACCTCGTGGAGTTGCAATGATCATGAGAACGGTGAGGAATCAGCCCAGAACTACACGGGAGGATCTTGTCAATGATCTCAAGGCAGCTGGGACCATAGTCACCAAGAAAACAATTGGTAACACACTACGCCGTGAAGGACTGAAATCCTGCAGCGCCCGCAAGGTCCCCCTGCTCAAGAAAGCACATATACAGGGCCGTCTGAAGTTTGCCAATGAACATCTGAATGATTCAGAGGAGAACTGGGTGAAAGTGTTGTGGTCAGATGAGACCAAAATGGAGCTCTTTGGCATCAACTCAACTCGCCGTGTTTGGAGGAGGAGGAATGCTGCCTATGACCCCAAGAACACCATTCCCACCGTCAAACATGGAGGTGGAAACATTATGCTTTGGGGGTGTTTTTCTGCTAAGGGGACAGGACAACTTCACCACATCAAAGGGACGATGGAGGTCCGTGTACCGTCAAATCTTGGGTGAGAACATCCTTCCCTCAGCCAGGGCATTGAAAATGGGTCGTGGATGGGTATTCCAGCATGACAATGACCCAAATCACACAGCCAAGGCAACAAAGGAGTGGCTCAAGAAGAAGCACATTAAGGTCCTGGAGTGGCCTAGCCAGTTTCCAGACCTTAATCCCATAGAAAATCTGTGGAGGGAGCTGAAGGTTCGAGTTGCCAAACGTCAGGCTCGAAACCTTAATGACTTGGAGAAGATCTGCAAAGTGGAGTGGAACAAAATCCCTCCTGAGATGTGTGCAAACCTGGTGGCCAACTATAAGAAACGTCTGACCTCTGTGATTGCCAACAAGGGTTTTGCCACCAAGTACTAAGTCATGTTTTGCAGAGGGGTCAAATACTTATTTCCCTCATTAAAATGTAAATATATTTATAACATTTTTGACATGCGTTTTTTTGTTTTGTTTTGTTTGTTATTCTGTCTCTCACTGTTCAAATAAACCTACCATTAAAATTATAGACTGATTTTGTTGATCATGTCTTTGTCAGTGGGCAAACGTACAAAATCAACAGGGGATCAAATACTTTTTTCCCTCACTGTATGGACCCTATAAACGTGACTTTTAAAGTATCCCTTTCACCTGCGCTGGAAGAATCATTAAATAGGAGATGGAGTAGTAAAACCAAATTAATGACATTATGTTTCAATTCAGGGAGTTGGATAGAAACCTTCTGAGATATACCCGTGCTTTTATAGACATAACCATTTCTTATTGCGCATGGCTCCTTACAGCACCCCATTTGAATGCAAATGAATGCAAGGTAGTTCATAGAAAGTGTTACAGAAATGTCAAGTGTGGTATGAGGAATCTTATGGTCTCATGATGACTGAATGCTGCTATAGGGTGAAGAAGGACCACCTGGACCAAGAGGACCTGGAGGAGAGGGGGTGAGTTAATAATACCTGGCTATGACCTTAAATCATTATACTCAACTCAAAGTTCCTCATCTCACATGCTCTTCATCTTTCTGTCTGTGTGTGTTTGTGTGTGTGTGTCTGTTACAGGGACAAGTTGGTTTAACTGGACAACCAGGTGTTGTTGGACCAAAAGGAGAGAAAGGAGGACAGGTGAGTTTGTTCTCATAAGCATCATTAAAGCTATAACCTTGAATTTGTGCTTCAGCCCAACGACAGCTTGCATCTAAATCTCCTTGTGTACTATGCTCCTGTTTGTGTCTTGTGTTTTATTTTTTAGGGTGACAGAGGACAAGATGGCTCTCTCGGGCCAAAGGGTGACAAAGGTGACAAGGTAAGATGGAGATATGAGACATTGATTTACAAAGATTCATGTAAACAGCTAAATACTGTATGTCACAACATCCTTTAAAAGCCTTACGATCTCTTACCTTTACTGTTACTAGACAGTCAGTAACAATGAACAAGATTCTTGTTACTGTGTGATTGGATAAGCATGCTTATTAGCATAAAAGCTACGTTAGCTGCATGAAAGATGTTTGCTGCTTGTGTCAGAGAGTGTGTTAGTCACAGAGACTTCCTCTTCACTTTGTCTCACCAACGACCACCAGGGGACTAGTTTGTTGTAATGAGCTAATTAACTTTCTCACACTGTGTGTGTGTGTGTGTGTGTCGCATCAGGGTGACACGGGACCAAAGGGAACTCCAGGAATACCAGGAAATGTGAGTAAAGTAAACAGATGTTGAATGGAGCAAATGACCATATTAACCACAGGAGGTTGGTGGCACCTTAATTGGGGAGGACGGGCTTCTGGTAATGGCTGGAAAAATGCATTGCAATTTGAGGATGCTTATTGGCTAACTGGTCTCTCTGTGTTATGTTTTTCTCTCAGGTGGCCAATGTTATCCCTGAGCCTGGTGAGCCTGTAAGTGCTGTAGAAACCAACAAGATCTCACGGTCTCACTTATGTTTAGACATTAATTCCAGTTTGGGATAGGGTTAAAACAGAAAAAAATAAGTGCCTAGCACTGGGATTGAACCACAATCCTCGGAGCCGGAGCATGTGGTTTAAGGCTGTGAGCCTACTTGATATACAGTGGGGGAAAAAAGTATTTAGTCAGCCACCAATTGTGCAAGTTCTCCCACTTAAAAAGATGAGAGAGGCCTGTAATTTTCATCATAGGTACACGTCAACTATCACAGACAAAATGAGAAAAAAAATTCCAGAAAATCACATTGTAGGATTTTTAATGAATTTATTTGCAAATTATGGTGGAAAATAAGTATTTGGTCAATAACAAAAGTTTCTCAATACTTTGTTATATACCCTTTGTTGGCAATGACTCAGGTCAAACGTTTTCTGTAAGTCTTCACAAGGTTTTCACACACTGTTGCTGGTATTTTGGCCCATTCCTCCATGCAGATCTCCTCTAGAGCAGTGATGTTTTGGGGCTGTCGCTGGGCAACACAGACTTTCAACTCCCTCCAAAGATTTTCTATGGGGCTGAGATCTGGAGACTGGCTAGGCCACTCCAGGACCTTGAAATGCTTCTTACGAAGCCACTCCTTCGTTGCCCGGGCGGTGTGTTTGGGATCATTGTCATGCTGAAAGACCCAGCCACGTTTCATCTTCAATGCCCTTGCTGATGGAAGGAGGTTTTCACTCAAAATCTCACGATACATGGCCCCATTCATTCTTTCCTTTACACGGATCAGTCGTCCTGGTCCCTTTGCAGAAAAACCAGCATGATGTTTCCACCCCCATGCTTCACAGTAGGTATGGTGTTCTTTGGATGCAACTCAGCATTCTTTGTCCTCCAAACACGACGAGTTGAGTTTTTACCAAAAAGTTCTATTTTGGTTTCATCTGACCATATGACATTCTCCCAATCCTCTTCTGGATCATCCAAATGCACTCTAGCAAACTTCAGACGGGCCTGGACATGTACTGGCTTAAGCAGGGGGACACGTCTCGCACTGCAGGATTTGAGTCCCTGGCAGCGTAGTGTGTTACTGATGGTAGGCTTTGTTACTTTGGTCCCAGCTCTCTGCAGGTCATTCACTAGGTCCCCCCATGTGGTTCTGGGATTTTTGCTCACCGTTCTTGTGATCATTTTGACCCCACGGGGTGAGATCTTGCGTGGAGCCCCAGATCGAGGGAGATTATTAGTGGTCTTGTATGTCTTCCATTTCTTAATAATTGCTCCCACAGTTGATTTCTTCAAACCAAGCTGCTTACCTATTACAGATGCAGTCTTCCCAGCCTGGTGCAGGTCTACAATTTTGTTTCTGGTGTCCTTTGACAGCTCTTTGGTCTTGGCCATAGTGGAGTTTGGAGTGTGACTGTTTGAGGTTGTGGACAGGTGTCTTTTATACTGATAACAAGTTCAAACAGGTGCCATTAATACAGGTAACGAGTGGAGGACAGAGGAGCCTCTTAAAGAAGAAGTTACAGGTCTGTGAGAGCCAGAAATCTTGCTTGTTTGTAGGTGACCAAATACTTATTTTCCACCATAATTTGCAAAGAAATTCATTAAAAATCCTACAATGTGATTTTCTGGATTTTTTTCCCTCAATTTGTCTGTCATAGTTGACGTGTACCTATGATGAAAATTACAGGCCTCTCTCATCTTTTTAAGTGGGAGAACTTGCACAATTGGTGGCTGACTAAATACTTTTTTCCCCCACTGTAATAGGTTCTCACATAGCCCTTAGTGAATGGTATTGAAGGCATTTCCCAACATCCTGGGGACCTGGATAAACATTGAATACTGAAGTCGATCTGGTGTGACCTGGCTGGTAGAAACTGCTCTGTGTTAGAAATGTTCTCCAGGCCTAATGCATGTCTATGAATATTGTATGTTGATACAAAAATAAGTGTTTTTCCAGTCCTTGAAACTGTACACAACACGTATTATTACACAGCAATATTTCACAACTTGGTCATGCATTTATCCTTTTTCTTTCTCCCTAGGGAACACCTGGAGAGAGAGGAGAAAAGGGAGAGCAGGGGAATCCAGGAGAGAATGTGAGTTATTCAGAATTAAAGGAGCCTTCTACCAAAGGAATAACATTAGGTTGCATTTTTATAGGAGTAAAAAATACATATTTTCATTAGGAATGTAGTGAAGTGAAAGTTGTACGACTTAAGTAGTACTTCAAAGTATTTTTATTTAAGTACTTTACACCACCGCTGCAGTTAGTGCTTTATGCTTGTACGCTAAAATAGTAACAGTGCTCTATCAATAGGATGGGCACTGTTCACTTTGAAAGGACTCATATGGCATTGCAAAAGAGCAAAATACGGTATAATTTGTTTGATGTTGAACATCATTCTGGGGATGTTACTAACCTGCGTGTTGTCTGAAGGGTCGACGAGGACTGCCTGGTGAACAAGGCTTTGCGGGACTGCCCGGACCACAGGTAAGGAGTTCAGTCAGTCAATCAATCAATCAATCAATCAATCAATCAAATGTTATTTATAATTGGACACACCTATTCACAACCCATGTAGAGACAATAACGTAAGTAGGGCCCTATAAAATCGGTTGCATTTTTTTGTTGCCTAATACCGTTTCGTACAATGCTTAAAGAACGACTGCTTTTAAAAAGCAATGGATCTCTTTGAAAATGGCCTATGTGGCATCAATATGAGTCAGAAAATGTTATTCTAGTGTCAAAATTGACTACAAGATGTAAATAGGATAATTTTGGTCATAAAGTCAATCTCGTCTAAAACGGAGTTTGGAACATCCACGCGTCACAAAGGTTAAATTAAGGTATGTCCATTTGCCCACTAACATGGGGTGAACAGCTGCAGTGATTGTTCTCTAACCAATAGCATAGACAGTGCGACAGACCTGCTAGACAGCTCTGACTGTTTACATAAGACAACATGTCGCCATTTTTTTACTTGAGAAATACTGCACCAAACACCTTAGTTAGATATAAAATTGCACAACTAAAATATCCTTGGCAAAAACGTCAAAATTGAGGATGTGAAATAGGCTTCCGCATCTACAGTGTCTCATAGGGGACATCATTAACCAAATGCGGAATTGGTCAGGAAACACACCTCCAAGACTGAAATCTAGTTTTTCTAATGATCAACAGAAAAACACACATGACAATAGTCGTGTTCAGTCGCTCTTTTTAAACCACATCAGGAGACCATTTTTTAGGTCTGGGAAAAAATCTAAGACATTTTGATTTTGGAGCATATCCTAGTTACCCTTTAATTCATGTGCGCACCTAGCAAGAGGCTATTGTTTAGCTGTGTTTTTGTAGCGCACATGTGATGGTAGAGTTTGCAAAACAAATACCCTGAATTGATGCAAATAATCATTATATAATTTTGCCAGGTAAGCACAGCCTACTTTGTAGTTAACATTTAATTGAGAAGAAGGTTTCCTTGGCATCATCTCTAATGGCTACACAAAGTGGTAGACGCGGGCAACGCACGCACACAGACAGGGAAATTCTGGTTTTCAGAAAGTTGCAGGAAATATGAATCACTGATGCATTCTGTTTATGTCTAATGATAAACTTAGACAAATTAATACATTTTCAATAAATGTAGTTGATTCCCTATAAGCTCAATCATTTTTTGGGATATTGTTGAATTCCGTTTTAATGCACCGCGGATTGTATAGGGCCTTACATAAGGTGTCATCCATTGGAAAATAGAAGCCAAACCTCGACATAATTTGTCATATTATACTGAATGATTTCCACTTACTTCATAGCCTTAAATGACTGGCAAGTTTGTTTGTTATCCCCTTCAATTCAGGGACCTAAAGGTGACATTGGCCCTAAAGGAGAGACTGGGAGACAAGGAGAGCCTGTAAGTTCTGGGTCCTTACTGCGATATATTTGCTCTCAATTACATGTCTGATAATACTATTACATATAGACAGTTGTGAATGAAGTCTTGTTTCTATTCCAGGGTCCTCCAGGATTGCAGGGTACACAGGGCGTCCGTGGACTGCCTGGCAATGTGGTAGGTTAATTTTGTGGAAATGACAACCCCAAAATATTTTCAACATATGGAATTTGTGTGTTGGTGTTCGAGAATGTCCCTAATGCTTTAAACTAACCTTTAACCTAATGTGTGCCCTGAACATACTTCTCTCTCTGTCTATTACACAGGGCATCCCTGGAACCATTGGACCACCTGGAATAGCTGGACAGAGAGGAGAGCGGGTCAGTAACCGTATCACTGCTTTGCTATATGGATCAAAACGTGATCTCAAATGTGTTGTTCTAGGGACATCATATTGTAACCTGTAACTCGTGTGTTCTAGGGACATCATATTGTAACTCGTGTGTTCTAGGGACATCATATTGTAACCTGTAACCCGTGTGTTCTAGGGACATCATATTGTAACCTGTAACCCGTGTGTTCTAGGGACATCATATTGTAACCCGTAACTCGTGTGTTCTAGGGACATCATATTATAACCTGTAACCCGTGTGTTCTAGGGACATCATATTGTAACCTGTAACCCGTGTGTTCTAGGGACATCATATTGTAACCCGTAACTCGTGTGTTCTAGGGACATCATATTGTAACCTGTAACCCGTGTGTTCTAGGGACATCATATTGTAACCTGTAACTCGTGTGTTCTAGAGACATCATATTGTAAGCCGTAACTCGTGTGTTCTAGGGACATCATATTGTAACCCGTAACTCGTGTGTTCTAGGGACATCATATTGTAACCTGTAACCTGTGTGTTCTAGGGACATCATATTGTAACCTGTAACTCGTGTGTTCTAGGGACATCATATTGTAAGCCGTAACTCGTGTGTTCTAGGGACATCATATTGTAACCTGTAACTCGTGTGTTCTAGGGACATCATATTGTAACCCGTAACTCGTGTGTTCTAGGGACATCATATTGTAACCTGTAACCCGTGTGTTCTAGGGACATCATATTGTAACCTGTAACCCGTGTGTTCTAGGGACATCATATTGTAACCTGTAACTCGTGTGTTCTAGGGACATCATATTGTAACCCGTAACTCGTGTGTTCTAGGGACATCATATTGTAACCTGTAACCCGTGTGTTCTAGGGACATCATATTGTAACCTGTAACTCGTGTGTTCTAGGGACATCATATTGTAAGCCGTAACTCGTGTGTTCTAGGGACATCATATTGTAACCTGTAACTCGTGTGTTCTAGGGACATCATATTGTAACCCGTAACTCGTGTGTTCTAGGGACATCATATTGTAACCTGTAACCCGTGTGTTCTAGGGACATCATATTGTAACCTGTAACCCGTGTGTTCTAGGGACATCATATTGTAAGCCGTAACCCGTGTGTTCTAGGGACATCATATTGTAACCTGTAACCCGTGTGTTCTAGGGACATCATATTGTAACCTGTAACCCGTGTGTTCTAGGGACATCATATTGTAACCTGTAACTCGTGTGTTCTAGGGACATCATATTGTAACCCGTAACTCGTGTGTTCTAGGGACATCATATTGTAACCTGTAACCCGTGTGTTCTAGGGACATCATATTGTAACCTGTAACTCGTGTGTTCTAGGGACATCATATTGTAAGCCGTAACTCGTGTGTTCTAGGGACATCATATTGTAACCTGTAACTCGTGTGTTCTAGGGACATCATATTGTAACCCGTAACTCGTGTGTTCTAGGGACATCATATTGTAACCTGTAACCCGTGTGTTCTAGGGACATCATATTGTAACCTGTAACCCGTGTGTTCTAGGGACATCATATTGTAAGCCGTAACCCGTGTGTTCTAGGGACATCATATTGTAACCTGTAACCCGTGTGTTCTAGGGACATCATATTGTAACCTGTAACCCGTGTGTTCTAGGGACATCATATTGTAAGCCGTAACTCGTGTGTTCTAGGGACCTTCTATTGTAACTCGTGCTGTATGAATGACTACTCTATGCTATGCAACACTATGCTATGCTCATCTCCCTGTGTGTGGTGTGTTCCAGGGAGAGTTGGGGAAGGAGGGTCGTGGTGGCCCCCCAGGCCCTCCTGGAGATGCAGGCATACAAGGACCCCCTGGCCTACCAGGGAAGGGCAAAGACGGACAGAACGTAAGACACAGAAACATCACTCTTCATAAGACATTCAAACCTCGTTTTTACGTTCAAACCTTGAGTTTCTCCTGTCTGTGTGACCACTATAACCAAGGTCGAGAGTTTTGCCTGGTCTTGTGGCATAGTCAGGAAAAACTCCTGACTACAGAGTTAACACATATCTAACTTGTTATCCAGACTCTAAGAAATATGAACCAGAGTTTGTTGGCACTTATCCAATCAGGCTCTGGGGCTTCAAATTAAAAGCCCTTCACATCCTGTACGGGTGTTGGCTGCACATGTCCATAAATCAACATGCATTTAAATACAACCATATTACAATATGACTGGTTAGTGGGGTACAACCCACATTATACAGTTATGCCAGCGATTTGACCTGGAACCTGTTTACTCATTTTCTACACCACAGACATATGGTGATAGTGCTGAGAAAGCAAACAAACAGAGCATACGCAGTTTCTGCTTTATCACATGAAACTAATGAAGGAACCCAGCAGGACGGTGTACAGGTGCTGTGTGTGTGTGGTTCATAACAGTTCCATCTTACTACTGTCAGCTGCTGGCCTATAACATATAACCCTCATGCATACACCAGTACAGTACACTATTTGCACAAATATGTAGTGATTGTTCTCCACTATATTAAATTGGTTTCTGTTACCCTAGTCCAGAGAGCTGTAGGACCATTTTATTTTATTCTATAAGACTTTAAATGCCACGTTTTTTTATTTGACCAGCCAGTGGGCTGATAATAGTGTTATGTGTGATATTATATTACAGGGTGATCCTGGACAGCAGGGAATTGAAGGACCGCCCGGCCAGAAGGTAATGTCATTGGGGGTGGAGGGGTAGAGAGAAACATTAATGCCTTGAAGCTAGGGTGATTCTATCTGTTGACAAAAAGGTTTTATTTTTCTCTAACTTAGGAAGAAAACAATCCATTCTGGTTGGACAAAAGCAATTTTCTGTGACCACAATACTGTGACTGACACACTGATTTAACAACAACTTTTTTGGGAGCAGGAGATTGGTTGGGGGGGGAGAGACTGGCGAGAGTAATTGATTGAGGATAGTGCAAGGTAGAGGCCATGCATGGACATTCTGTTGATTCCATCTTTGTAGTTGTTAAACATCCTCCATGGTCACCTTTACAACCGCCACAATGAATTCTAAAACTTCTGATTGGATTCTCTGTTAGAAATAAACACAAATGTGATGTATCTTGCCTGAGCAGCCAAGACCTGCAAAGATCAACAACCACTCTGCTCAGCACAGCAGAACTATCTGAGCCAAACATTACGATAGTACAGTCGTGGTCAAAGGTTTTGAGAATGACACAAATATAAATTTTCACAAAGTCTGCTGCCTCAGTTTTTATGACGCCAATTTGCATATACTCCAGAATGGTATGAAGAGTGATCTGATGAATTGCAATTAATTGCAAAGTCCCTCTCTGCCATGAAAATGAACTTAATCCCCCCAAAACTTTTCCACTGCATTTCAGCCCTGCCACAAAAGGACCAGCTGACAATCATGTCAGTGATTCTCTCGTTAACACAGGTGAGAGTGTTGACGAGGACAAGGCTGGAGATCACTCTGTCATGCTGATTGAGTTAGAATAACAGACTGGAAGCTTTAAAAGGAGGGTGGTGCTTGATATCATTGTTCTTCCTCTGTTAACCATGGTTACCTGCAAGGAAACACGTGCCGTCATCATTGCTTTGCATAAAAAGGGCTTCACAGGCAAGGATATTGCTGCTAGTAAGATTGCACCTAAATCAACCATTTATCAGATCATCAAGAACTTCAAGGAGAGAGGTTCAATTGTTATGAAGAAGGCGTCAGGGTGCCCAAGAAAGTCCAGCAAGCGCCAGGACCGTCTCCTAAAGTTGATTCAGCTGCGGGATCGGGGCACCACCAGTGCAGAGCTTGCTCAGGAATGGCAGCAGGCAGGTGTGAGTGCATCTGCACGCACAGTGAGGCGAAGACTTTTGGAGGAAGGCCTGGTGTCAAGAAGGGCAGCGAGGAAACTACTTCTCTCCAGGAAAAACATCAGGGACAGACTGATATTCTGCAAAAGGTACAGGGATTGGACTGCTGAAGCCTGGGGTAAAGTCATTTTCTCTGATGAATCCCCTTTCCGATTGTTTGGGGCATCCGGAAAAAAGCTTGTCCGGAGAAGACAAGGTGAGCGCTACGGTCAGTCCTGTGTCATGTCAACAGTAAAGCATCCTGAGACCATTCATGTGTGGGGTTGCTTCTCAGCCAAGGGAGTGGGCTCACTCACAATTTTGCCTAAGAACACAGCCATGAATAAATAATGGTACCAGCATGATGGAGCACCTTGCATGATGGAGCACCTTGCCATAAGGCAAAAGTGATAACTAAATGGCTCGGGGAACAAAACATTGAAATTTGGCCAGGAAACTCCCCAGACCTTAATCCCATTGAGAACTTGTGGTCGATCCTCAAGAGGCGGGTAGACAAACAAAAACCCACAAATTCTGACAAACTCCAAGCATTGATTATGCAAGAATGGGCTGCCATCAGTCAGGATGTGGCCCAGAAGTTAATTGACAGCATGCCAAGGCAGATTGCAGAGGTCTTGAAAAAGAAGGGTCAACACTTATGGAATGCTTGTAATTATAATTCAGTATACCATAGTAACATCTGACAAAAATATTTAAAACACTGAAGCAGCAAACTTTGTGAAGACCAATACTTGTGTCATTCTCAACTTTTGACCATGACTGTACAGTAATGTCATCAGAGAGTATTGGCTATTGCATTAATAGGACACAGTGTCCCCTGGTTGGATGGTTACCAAGGTTCTGTTGATGTCTCATTGGATGGTAACCAAGGTTCGGTCTGTGTGTTCCAGGGCCAACCCGGATCCAAGGGACTTCAGGGGGTTCCAGGGGACAGGGGTCCTCCAGGAGAAGGCAAAGATGGACCCCCGGTATAGACAACCACGCCATACACACAACCACACACACACACACACACATTCAATCTTGCAGCATATCTTGAACATGTCTGAGAACATTTTCTTTTACAGGGACCTTCAGGGCCCAATGGTGCAGTTGGACCGCCGGTAAAAACATTTTTGTCATAATTATGCTCAGCCTTAGAGTGACCAAGTCAATGTGAAAACGTAAACTGGGTAACGTTCAAATAAAAGTTTAACTGACTGCTGTTTGTTTCCTGATTCAGGGCTTGAGAGGTCTGCCAGGCGTCGCTGGTATACGGGGACCTGCAGGACACAATGGTTTACCAGGAAGACCAGGAGAGAAGGGATCCCCAGGAGAGCCAGTAAGTTGACCAGTACAGTAAATTGCCTTGTAAACGTCCCAACAACACTGCAAACAGAGACCAAATACTGTACCTTCACTATACTGTACCTTCTTTGTCACTGCACTGACATGATGGCACACCTATGGGGATGTATTCAAACTCATGATGTGATAAACAATGTGAAGTTTATAAGTCCAATCAACCTTTGTTTAATAATGGACCAAACTAATATACGCCATCTCTTTCAGGGAGCAGCAGCAGACTTATCGGATTTGAATCTGAAGGTAAGGAGGAGAGCGCCATTACCATAGTACTGTTTCCTCCATCTTGTTAAAGCATACAGTATATTCTGAGACAGACAGATTATTTCATCACTCAGTGTTTCTCTTTGTCCTTCAGGACGTGTGTTCAGACTGCCCAGCCGGACCCCCAGGACAGCCTGGTCTGCCAGGGACACCAGGGGACAAGGGACAAGCTGGATCCCCAGGGAAGAACGGACAGGACGGGTACCAAGTAAGGACAAAGTCAGAGCACCATGCTATTCCATCTGTTGTATGATAAATGTATCTCTTACTGGGAGATGCACATCCTGAATCATTAATAGGATTAATATGATCTTCTCCATACCATTTCTTCATCTCTAAACACTACAAAGAGAACTTCATAGAAGTAGCATGCCTCAGACTGTAGCCCAGGAGAAGAGCGAGGATTCTCCTGTATCCATCACACTGTTTGACTGAAGTAGCGGGAAGCTATCAGGCTGGCTCTCTCAGCATCGTTAGGCTTCCTGTCCTCTGGGGGGTACAGTGAATGATCAGGACCTGGAGACAGGGCTGCTGATGGTCTTTTTAGAGAGCCAGAGATGGGGAGAGAGAGGGAGAAAGACAGACCAGAAAGAGAGATGTAGAGAGAAAGCCTTTAGTTAGCCAGAAACTGATTGTTTCTCTGTCGTTATCATTACAGGGCCAGGCAGGCCCGACCGGACCCACTGGACCCCCAGGAGCTAACGGAGAAAAAGCAAGTCCTCCCCAACCACACCCGCACACTTTTACCTTCCGTAGAACATGAATTATTGAGTTGAAGACCTGAAAACATCCAGTGGTTTGTGTCTGTTATGTCACCTGCCATACAACACAGTGGCCAGAGGTGATATGCATTATTTATTTACTGTTTGTCCTACAGGGTGTGAAAGGTGATAGAGGACCCCAAGGAGGACCTGGAGACAAAGGTGAAATAGGCCACACCGGACCCCCTGGCCACCCCGGTGCTGCTGGTATCATGGGTAATCCTGTGAGTACCTGCCTGTTGGTACTACCAGTATCTACCATAGGCCATCATCTTTGCTGTTTAGTAGCCTAGTTTCATATCCCTGTGTGCTGTATCGCCAACTCCTATAGTTATTGCAGTAGGATGAATGTTCTTTCTGACTCTTCCCTCTTCGTCTCTCTGTAGGGTAACGACGGTCAACCCGGCCCCATCGGTCCCCCAGGAGCCCCTGGAGAAAAAGTCAGGATGTTGTCAATGTGTTTTATTTCCAGACAGCATATTACACTACATGTCATCAGTTTTATATCGGGCTCATCCCACTGGCTGGCCATATAGGTCAACTGGGCTGAGTGTTGTTGTGGCAGAGGTCATTAATCATCCTAGTGTTGTTGTTGATTTATCATGGTTGAATCTGTGGAACTATCTTGTGTTTGTTTTCATCCTGCAGGGCAAGGAGGGGATGAAGGGAATCCAGGGTCCACCAGGTCTACCAGGCTTAATGGTGAGAAACTGTGTTGATAAAGTTTTGTGAAAGAATATAAATTACCTGCTAAAGACTTAGTATTCATAGAGGTTGTTGTGGTATTGTTATTATCTCAAGCTATCCATGATAACATAAGTGTAACTTATGGAGTGGACTGTAAATAAACATTTCGAAAATCAAGGCTAAATGCTAAAAGGCTGAAAGCTGAATGTTCCGCAGGGTCAAATGGGTAAAATTGGCAAAGATGGCCGCCAAGGAGAACAAGGAGAATCTGTGAGTACACATGATATGGCCTGATTATATTCCCAGGATATCCTGTATGTCCTGTATATCCTATTGGGACTTCATTTCCAGGGATACATTATGTACATAATCAGTCATAATGGTCCCTGGTTATACAGTGCATTCGGAAAGTATTCAGACCCCTTGCCTTTTTCCAAATTTTGTTACGTTACAGCCTTATTCTAAAATGGATTAAATTGTTTATTACTTCCTCATCAATCTACACACAATACCCCATAATGACAAAGCAAAAACTGTTTTTTAGAAATGTTTGCAAATGTGTGTGTGTGTATATATATATATATATATATATATATATAACAAAGAAATATCACATTTACAAAAGTATTCAGACCTTTTACTCAGTACTTTGTTGAAGCATCTTTGGCAGCGATTACAGCCTCGAGTCTTCTTGGGTATGACGCTACAAGCTTGTGCCGAAGCCACTCCTGCGTTGTCTTGGCTGTGTGCTTAGGGTCGTTGTCCTGTTGGAAGGTGAACCTTCGCCCCAGTCTGAGGTCCTGAGTGCTCTGGAGCAGGTTTTCATCAAGGATCTATCTGTACTTTGCTCCGTTCATCTTTCCCTCGATCCTGACTAGTCTCCCAGTCCCTGCCACTGAAAAACATCCCCACAGCATGATGCTGCCACCACCATGCTTCACCGTAGGGATGGTGCCAGCTTTCCTCCAGACGTGGCGCTTGGCATTCAGGCCAAATAGTTCAATCTTGGTTTCATTAGACCAGAGAATCTTGTTTCGCATGGTCTGAGAGTCCTTTAGGTGTCTTTTGGCAAACTCCAAGTGGGCTGTCATGTGCCTTTTGGCTTCCGTCTGGACACTCTACCATAAAGGCCTGATTGGTGGAGTACTGCAGAGATGGTTGTTCTGCTGGAAGGTTCTCCCATCTCCACAGAGGAACTCTGGAGCTCTGTCAGAGTGACCATCGGGTTCTTGGTCACCTCCCTGACCAAGGCCCTTCCCCCTCGATTGCTCAGTTTGGCCCGGGTGGCCAGTCTAGGAAGAGTCTTGTGGGTTCCAAACTTCTTCCTTCTAATGATGATGGAGGCCACTGTGTTCTTGGGGACCTTCAATGCTGCAGAAATGTTTTGGTACACTTCCCCAGATCTGTGCTTTGACACAATCCTGTCTCGTAGCTCTACGGACAATTCCTTCAACCTCATGGCTTGGTTTTTGCTCTGACATGCACTGTCAACTGTGGGACCTTATATAGACAGGTGTGTGCCTTTCCAAATCATGTCCAATCAATTGAATTTACCACAGGTGGACTCTAATCAAGTTGTAGAAACAACTCAAGGATGATCAATGGAAACAGGATGCAACTGAGCTCAATTTCGAGTCTCATAGCAAAGGGTCTGAATACTTATGTGAGTAAGGTATTTCTGTTTTTTTATTTTTAATAAATTTGCAAACATTTCTAAAATCCTCTTTTCACTTTGTCATTATGGGTTAATGTGTGTAGATTGATGAGGAATGTTTTATTTAATCAATTCTAGAATAAGGGCTGTAACGTAACAAAATGTGGAAAAAGGGAAGGGGTCTGAAAACTTTCAGAATGTACTGTACATGGCAAAATGTGTGTCCCCTTTATATTTACCTGCACATCATTCCCTTGGTCTGTGTAATCTAAGTGTGAGTGTTGTGATCTCAGGGTAAACAAGGAGAGCCAGGACCACCAGGACAGCCAGGACTCAGGGGAATGCCTGTGAGTAACTAAAATTGTGGGAAGTATTATTTAACCGTGTGGTTAATGGAAATATCCTTTCACTAGTAATATTGGTGTATTCATGTTGATGATTCTCTCCATACAGGGCTTCAAGGGTCACAGAGGAGAGCCTGGACCACCAGGGTCAAAGGTCAGTCCATTGACTCCCATGTCACAATAGGCAACACATCAGATGACTAGGCCATAACTTGTTGAATATGAACGTGGGCTTATGTCTTCCCTGGTCTGTCAAGATCAAATCATCTCACTCTCAAAATTGTGACACATGCCTACTCTCATTAAATCTCATTCAGCTCTAGGATACGATATCTGTCACAGTAGTATGACCAATAGCATGTCTCAATATAGTGTGACCTATTATAGTGTGACCAATAGCATGCCTCATTACAGACACCACTGAGTCACTAAAACACAGTGCCAGGCTCACATCCCTCCAGCCTTTTCTCTGACAGAGATGGACCAAGTGCCCAAGTGCATCACCAGAACACCTCTCTTAAGACAGAGCATTATGTTGGTTTGACTCCTATCTGCCTATGGATTTTATAGACCACATTAGATGTATAAGAATGTCTCGCCTTGACCCCAGACTCGTACATCCAGGCCATCAAGGTCAAGGGGTGGAGTTTTCCTCTAATCCCTATAGATTTTACCAGTGGAGCCCCTTTCTATAGCTATAATCAAAACATTTTGATTAAATTAGGAAAAGAGAAGCCTATTGTGAATTGATTGGTTGCGTTGATTAATATCTTTCTGTCCTCGACCAATCAGGGTGAAGATGGAAAGGAAGGACGTAGCGGACCGGAGGGTAAACCTGGCCAAGACGTGAGTGAGAACACCAATTTAACCAATCATAACTCTGTAAGTATCAACATACAGGGAATGTCTTACTAATGTATGCGTTGTGTTTGTTTTTGAAGGGTAATATTGGACCACCTGGACCAGAGGGCCTGGCTGGCCAGAGAGGGGAGAATGTAAGTCACCTTTATACTGCAGTAGACAAGCCTTTATCTGCTGACACTTACCACACCAGACCTAGCACGATGACAACCTGGTGATAGAAAGTCAAAAAGTGTCTGTATTTCTCTCTCTGTCTCTCTCTCTCACTCTTTCTTTCTCACTCTTTCTTTCTATCTGTCTCTCTCTCTCTCTGTCTCTCTCTCTCTCTCTCTCTGTCTCTCTGGTCTCTCTCTCTCTGGTCTCTCTCTCTCTGGTCTCTCTCTCTCTGGTCTCTCTCTCTCTCGTCTCTCTCTCTCTCTGGTGTCTCTCTCTCTCTCTCTGGTCTCTCTCTCTCTCTCTGATCTCTCTCTGGTCTCTCTCTCTCTGGTCTCTCTCTGGTCTCTCTCTCTCTGGTCTCTCTATCTCTTTCTCCCTCCCTCCTTCCATCTCTACCTCTCAACCTCTCTCAAGGGTAAACCTGGTGAACCAGGACCTTCAGGAAAGGCAGGAGCCCCTGGTACTCCAGTGAGTGATTATTTATTTATATACAGCAGGAACTGCTCTTAACATTGCAGACATCGTGGTCCTAGCTTCTGTGAAAACAGAAATGTGCACATGCAGTGAAATGCTGTTTGTATTTAGCGAACACAGCAGCTTCCCTCTGCCCTGTATCTGGTACTCTACAGCCAGCTAGATCAAGCCCCACCAAGCCCCACCAAGCCCTTGTAAATATGAATATTAATCACTTGCAGCTGTTTCATCTTCCACCGCAAGATCTTTTATGAGATTTACCTCCAAGAATAGCAACGTTCGTAAGAACATCAGATAGCTAAACGTTAGGTTAATCTCACCCAAGTGGGGCTGCCTGTGAGTGTTCAACTACAGTATGACTAAAGTATGACTACGCCATGTGAAAGTCATAAGCCCCAATGTTTCTGTGTGTACAGGGTCAGGCTGGAGCCAAGGGAGATGCTGGGAACCCAGGATTACCAGGCTTTAGTGGTCCCAAGGGACCCTCGGTAAATAGGGATTCCTGCTCCTTTTGTTGTCAACGTTATCACTAGCGTGCTAAGCTACTGTTACTACGTCTCGTAGTCCTACCACTCATGTTGGAACAGTCTGAGTTGATGTTCTGCCATAAGAGGATCTGAAGTTACAAGCGTTTCTGATTTAATCAAATGTATTTATATTTAAATGTCTCTGCCTTCGATCTCTCTATCTATATAGGGTCCTACTGGTCCTGTCGGTCCAGAGGGGAAACAGGTAAGAACCATTAATTGATTGATTGATTCGTTTGTTGATAGATTTTTGGAGATGTATTTCAATTTTCATCAGCTACTTTTATCATCTTTACACTATGAAATGGATTTGTTGTGGAACATGGATTGGGAGATGTCTTGCCCACAACACATTAAACCAACTCCTTGTCTGTTTCACAGGGTATGTCAGGCAGAGCAGGAGAACGTGGAGTCAAAGGAGAGAGGGTGAGTACATACAGGAGCCTGCCCAACCAAAGACCATAAACAACATTGTTTATATTGTCTCCGGGTGTGTTTTGTTGGATGTCTTTGTAGGGCGACTCAGGTGGGAAGGGAGATAAGGGACCTGTTGGAGATTCAGGTATGCCTGGTAACCCGGGGCCCCCAGGCCGTAAGGGCCACACAGGGATGATGGGTATGTCCGGGCCCCCAGGAGAGGTGGGACTTACCGGGCCTCGGGGAACACCTGGAAACCCTGGACAACCAGGACCACGGGTGAGTAGTGACCTGAATACTTGCATTAGCTACCCAGAGTAAACCGCCAGGTTTTAGCTCAGCAGGACAACAGTCTTGTGGTTTACAAAATCTGGTTCAAACCCAGACACAGTCAAAGTGCTATAGACAATAGTACAGACATCTAGAAATCGATGACATAAACATGATAATTTCTCCTTCCAACAGGGAGAGTCAACATCACTGGAAACAATGAGAAGGCTGATCCAGGAGGAACTAGCTAAAGCGTTAGATGGTGAGACTGGCGTATTGTTAGGGACAATGGGACATTAGTGCAATCTGCGATGTATGTTTGACCTCGTATAAGCTGTGCAAGTCATAATCGTGTCTGTGTGTTCCACCTCCAGCCAAAATGGCGTACCTGATGGCCCAGATCCAGCCGGGCCATGTGAAGAGCACGGCAGGTCGGCCAGGACCTCCAGGCCCCTCAGGGAAAGACGGGAGCCACGGTCGCCCCGGACCCCCAGGGGAGCCTGGCATGCCTGGGCAGAATGGAGGAGACGGCATGAGGGGGCCCATGGGTCCTAAAGGTAATTGATCCAAAGTGAAGACCCCATTGTTATTGGTCACACATACTGTATTTATTGGTTCAGATAAACAGACACTGTGAGAGCATAATATTAAAAACTGTAATATTGTCAAACCACTACATGAGAGGTTTCAGGTTTCCACTACACCCAGAAAACACATTTTTGCCAACCATTGATAATAGTTGCCTTTGGTGGTCTTGATTTAGGTTGTCTTGATTCAGACACTGTCTGTAAGAACATCATTGTGAGTGTTATGTCTGTCATCTCTGTGACGTCCAGGTGAGAGAGGATCCAGAGGAGACAAGGGGGAAAACGGAGTTGGACAGAGAGGAGAGACTGGACCATCTGGTCCTATAGGTACAGTACTGTTCCTCTATTACAGCATTACATCAATAGAATGTCTCTATTACTACTATATCATTCGTAATGGATGATTGTTTGTATCCTTCTTGAGATCCTTAGTTGCTAAACTATGCGCTATCCAGCACAAGTGGGGTGAGTGACTGAGTGACTGACACATGAACTTCCTAAGAAAGCAGCAGTTGCTTCAGTGTGACTCTTTGCCATTCACTTTACCATTTAATGTGACTTTGCTATTCCACCCTTCAGGTCCAGCAGGTATGCCAGGCTACGGTAAGGACGGGCAGCCCGGGGCGGCTGGAGCTCAGGGAGAACCAGGGAACCCTGGCCCCCATGGCCAGCCAGGCCCCAGCGGACCCCCAGGACAGTGTGACCCCTCCCAGTGTGCCTACTACGCTAGTCTGGGATCACGACCCCACACCAAGAACGTCAAGGGGACTTAAAGAGACAGAGACACACAAACAGAGGGTGCATCCGAAATGGCAACCTCTTCCTTATATAGTGCACTACTTTTGTCAAAAGTAGTGCACTATAAAGGGAATAGGATGCCATTTTGGACGCAGCCAGAGAGCTACAAGTCCAGCTATTTATGAACTGGGATGTGTTAGGATGAGCCAAGAACTTTTCTTTCCATAAAGATATATCTCCTCAGTTTGGAGGGAGCTCGAGAGAAGTGTTCTGCCTGCCTGCCGGTCAGAATTTGTTTGTTTGTTTTTGTTATGGGGGTTTGGGGGTGGAATGACCAGGGGAAGTGGTTGTGGAGGGTTGGCTCGAAGGACCATGTAAAAGACCACAGACTACAGTCATGCTTACTGGGCTATAATGTGGCGGCACAGAACCAGGCCTGGGTTCAAATAGTATTTGAACCAATGGAATAGTCCCCAAAAGTGCAAACCCTGCCGATCTGTCACTTTAGGTAGGCTCAATCAAATCCTCAAAACTATTTCAAAGAAAACAAAATACCATCTGTACCCATATCTGGTAAAAGATGGAGCCACAGTTACAGAACGGCCATTTAACTGACTCCAAGTTATACCGTAATAGTGTCGTCACTCTCCCAGCCTACACAGTCATCAGACTGCTATGGGTTTAACATTAGATTTAACTTCAGCCCATCAGTCAATGGCCATATCATTGATCCAGCGGTAGGCAGCTCCTCTGGAGTCAACTGGTAATGATCCAGTCAAGTTATTTTTATTGATGGGAAGGGAAGATTAGCCTTACTGAGGCACAATCTGAAATATAAATATTACGTTTCATAGAAGGATCTTTAATGAGCCTGTGGATGGTGGTGAACGACTGCATGCTTTGTTTTGCCTTGCCTGTAAGCTTCTAATAGTGCAATTGTCTTGAATAATGATAGCCGGGCCACCAGTACTAGTCAAGGTGAATACTGAACTCTCACATTCTCTGGGTATCTGTAGAACTCTTATTACTATCCTGACCTTATTACAAACTAAGATACTGTGTCAACAACAAAACCATTTGTGACAGCTTTAATTGCCTATTGTACAGTGTTTGTTCATTGTTCCTCCAAAGCGAATCCAACTTCATGAACGTGTAAGGTCGTCAAGTAGACAAGACCCATAAGACTTTCAAAAGGAAATGGAAAACTAGAAAATAAAAACTACATTTCCCCTTTCGTTTCTACTTAAGTGTCTCTGGTGATTCCACAGAGTCTGCCAGTAAACAGTCTGGAGAGAGAAGGCACTAAAACCACAGCCTTTGTTCCACTCGTTCCTCAAACGTTGCTTGTTTCCTGGTTTCACGCTACGGTCTCTCTAACGTGTCACTTCCTCCTGCTTATTAGCCAGTCCCCCTGTGGCACAGGCAGGCCGGGGAAACAGTGACTCAAATAAAGACATTGTTTTAACTAAATCTTTAAGTGCTATACAAAATGAGTTCCTTCTTCCCTGTATTGTGTATTCTGAATGGTAAAGTCAGTGAGTATTCTGTCTGAAGGATGTCTTCCTCACTCATCCCACGTCCCTGGTGGACCAATTATACCCTCTCTAAAACTCACAAGATGAGTCGAGGGAGAGAGAGTCAGTAAAAAAAATACAATAGATAGCTCACTGCTCACTCTAGGGGAATTATTTTGGTTTGAAAAAGGAGAAGAAATGTAACACATCAACGTTGAGGTTCCGAAATGTTCATCAGATCACCAATAAAGTAAAATAGATATATTGTCTTTTAGGCCTTCCTTATATGGATGTGAGCCTGGATTCCAGCATGTATTTCTAGAACACAGTAAGAACACCCACAGTGTTCCAGAACCCAGGCCAACACCAACACCAACAGTGTTCCAGAACCCAGGCCAACAGCCACAGGGTTCCAGAACCCAGGCCAACAGCCACAGGGTTCCAGAACCCAGGCCAACAGCCACAGGGTTCCAGAACGCAGGCCAACACCCACAGTGAAAACACTGCTTGGCCATCTGCACCTCAGGTCACTTCATTGAAGGTCATCCAAAGTGCTCTCCTGAATATTTAAAGCTAAACATACTGTGCCTACATTGCCCATTGTACTGTAGCCTATAAAACGGTGCCTCATGATCCATAGCAGTCAAAGGAACAGATATACTCTTCACTGACTTCAATACACTTTACTACCACATCACAGTGGAGATGAGTCGACTTCGTTATGAATTACGTTTCAGAATGCCAGAATGCCAAATAGGAGCTATATAACAATAACATAATGGTTTTGTAAATGGAAAACGCTTGTTAGCCCATTGATATGAACATTAGAATGTCTGATGTTTGCTGCCAGTGCTCCCAATGCAAATAATGCATAAGGTGCTAGTTTATAATTATGTTTGGCTTGTTTCCTCATTTCATATACATTTGTGATCATTCAAAACAACCAACTGTATGTAACTGATTTAGAGTTTTTGTTAATTATACTGTTAAATTATTCACAGTTTGAACTACCAGTAGCTTACCGTATGTGGAATGTTAAAAATGGTTTTACGATGGTAATCCTTACCTGTTTATCCTAAAAGATTGGTGCTAAAATATCCTAAATTAGTGGCTGGTATATTTGTACGTATTGGAAAGGTATGTTATGTACTGTATCATGTTGTAATAAAGACTGGAACAGATCCATTTTTTAGAAAAAGGCTTTTCCTTTCCTTTGTGAGTCATCTTTCTGTGTCCTCTTATAAGTGCAGGTTTGATCAATGTTTAATACTACCAGCTAATTTACCAGTAGACCCTGCAGGCATATGACAAGTCCATTGCTTCTATTGAACATCAATAGCAACTTCTACAGACCCATTGAAATGAACAGTAATCGCTCAGTTTTACATTTTCTCCCGGCATCATTTGCATAGCAAGCACGATTGGCACTTCTGTAAAATATCTAACCAATTTTTTATTGCTAATTAGAATTTTAATTTTGCTGAAATTATCCATTGTTCAACTGTTGGTATGTTAGTGTTTTATGGACAACCTATAACCTATTATTCTATGGGATGCCAGTAGATCCATGATTAGACCTATGAGGACAAATAGATTATGTTGAGAGGGGGAAGAGGGGGAGGAGGTGGAGGAGGAGGGGGAGGAGGAGGGGGATGGGGAGGAGGATGAGGAGGAGGAGAGGAAGGAGGAGGAGGCTAGTTCTAGCCTGCAGTAGCCCAATCTCATGTTTTCAGCCACCGGCCAGCAGCCTTCTAAAGGTCATATTGACTCAATAAATGAAGCTCTGGTGTATAGACTCAGAGGATGGGATTTTGACTCTCTCAGTAAATAGGCAACGGTGGACTGCAAGACCCTGCAGACGTCTGTAACAAAGACTGACCAACCTGGTGCCCTGTAGGTCTTGGTCCATCCCCTGGATGTAACAGCGTCAACAGATAGAACTCTCTAATGGTAATCATGATGTCACAAAACATCTCTCAAATGGTAATGCTGAAAGTCATAAAGTTGTCAATACATTTTGGTATTCTGTGAATGCATGTTATATCTGTCTCGAAGGACCAACATAAAAAAAATTGACTAATGGTTTGTTCTAAAATACTTCCCTAAAGGTAAAGGTAGCTGTTTTTACATTCATAAAAACAACTCACGGGTCTGATGTGAAATATTTCCCAAACAAAACAGTTTATTACATTGTTAGAAAAAAATAAACAGGGAAGAACATGTGTACTCGTACTGTACAACCTCTGTATAACATACATCCTATGTTCAAGTGACTGAATGAAAACATGAATTACCAATATCTGTCTATGGCTCATCATGGTAGTGGACTTTTGCCGTTATTTATTGTTTATTGATCAATATTGAAAATGAATGATTCCAAAGCGCAGTTTGAGGTTTTCTTATTTGTGAAAGGCTGAACTTCGTATTGTACATGGTGCTGGAGAGGACGTTTTTGATGACTTTATTTAAACAAGGAATTAAAGAGTACATGCATAGAAGAAAAATACACACATTATTTACCTTTGTATTACTTGAAAACCAAGATATTGCCCTGTTTGTCTACCTGAATCTGTGGGTATGAATTGAACAGCATGAATTGAACAATATGGTCATTTTAGAAGTTTTTGTAATTTGCATTTGTCTTTGGGACAGCACTTGGGCCATGATGGGCCACTCATCAGTTGAAAGGCTAGCTTAAAATCAATAGCAGCTGTCTTAGAAAGCACAACATCAGATAAGCTCTCTCTACAAAGAACGAGGCATCAGTCAAAAATATGAAAAGTTAGTTATCTATACAGTATTCTAAATTACATTTGCCTTGTCTCTGTTTCTCTTTGGTTCCGTGGTGCGATGATGGAGACAGTGAAGACTCCCATGTATTACCCCTCCTGAACTGGGTACCTCACGTCTCTCTTGCTGCTGCTAGAGATGGAATGTGTTCCGAGGTTCTGTTTGTGTTCCTCATGGCCCCTTGCTGTAGCTGGAGGATTTCTTCCCCCCACTCATCATATAGAGAGGTGGGGGCCTGCCTATACAGTTTGAGGGGTCACAATACCCTGGGGCTCCTGTAGCTCCCCTGGGACCAGAGGCACCTGGGCTACCGTTAACACCGTCTTTACCGGGAGCTCCATCTTTACCGTCCTTCCCGATGCCAGGGATGCCAGCCACACCTGAGAGACAAAGGATGAGGTTGATGATGGCAACAGTTACTGAACAACGCCTCCTCATGTCAATGTGTAACTGACTGGGTTCAAACCCAGGTCTCTTGAGCGACACCAGACTGTGTTAGCCCGCTGAGCTAAAGCATTGGCATAAACTTGAGGAGCTAAAATCTTCAGGTCTTAGGCAAGATAAGAATGGGGGGAGGGGGTGGTGTTACCTTGGGGGCCTGGCTCGCCTGGAGTTCCTGGGATTCCCACTCCGTTTTCTCCCTTATGTCCTGTATCTCCCTTTATACCAGCTTCACCTACAGAGAACAGGAAGACATTTCCTTTCACATGTTGTTCATTGACTGTCTGAAATGGGCTATTATCCCCACAAGAGGTATGTGTGTGTGTGTGTGTGTGTGTGTGTGTGTGTGTGTGTGTGTGTGTGTGTGTGTGTGTGTGTGTGTGTGTGTGTGTGTGTGTGTGTGTGTGTGTGTGTGTGTGTGTGTGTGTGTGAACAACAGGGATGCAATAAAAAAGAATTTAGCAGAGAGGGATTTAAGTGCTCTGTTGTCTGATTCAGCCCTCGATGTGAATGCTTGACTCAAGCCCACCTACAAAGAAAACACACTGTACAAGCACACTGTACAAGCTCTTTCAGAGCACTAAGCTACTGTACTGTGGAGACAATGTCTAACTATTTGTACTGTGTCTATACTTTTCAAGTTGCAGTTTCTATGTTCTCTACTGTACACAATGAAATGGGCATTTCCAAGATGGCCCAAGTATTCCATTGGAATTATCAGTTCTTTATACATTTCACCTTTATCTAGTAAGTTATTGATACATAATTCCCCATTATCTTTGAGCAGCTTTGAGTATCCACCTAGTCCTACCTTGTTTTCCAGGTGTGCCTGGTAACCCAAAGTATCCAGGTGGTCCCTTCATTCCCATCAGTCCTCTGGGACCGGCCTCTCCTGCAGGCCCTGCTGGGCCCGGGGGACCTGATTGGCCTGGAAGTCCTGTCATGCCAGGGGCCCCGATCGCTGCTGGTTTCTTTAGGACCTCTTTCTTAAACTCTGCTAAGTGTTCTAGATGGAGAGAATGATTCAAATGTCAGTTTAACAAAGCACCCTACGTGGCAGTCTGTCTTAAATCACTGTTACAGTGTATAAGCTACACAATATTCACATACCTTCAACAATTGCTGAGCATAGTTCGCGAAGTTGGATATCATTCACTTTAGGACCCTATTGGATTTGGAAGGGGAAAAAGTATATTAATGAACACCTGTGTGTTTTACAGTCTTCCTTCACTTGCTTGGAAGAAGGTACTTACAGGTAGGCCCCTAGGCCCAGTTTAAAGGCACTTACAGGTAGGCCTCTAGGACCAGTTTAAAGGTACTTACAGGTAGGCCTCTAGGCCCAGGTTAAAGGTACTTACAGGTAGGCCTCTGGGCCCAGGTTAAAGGTACTTACAGGTAGGCCTCTAGGCCCAGGTTAAAGGTACTTACAGGTAGGCCTCTAGGCCCAGGTTAAAGGTACTTACAGGTAGGCCTCTAGGCCCAGTTTAAAGGTACTTACAGGTAGGCCTCTGGGCCCAGGTTAAAGGTACTTATAGGTAGGCCTCTGGGCCCAGGTTAAAGGTACTTACAGGTAGGCCTCTGGGCCCAGGTTAAAGGTACTTACAGGTAGGCCTCTAGGCCCAGGTTAAAGGTACTTACAGGTAGGCCTCTAGGCCCAGGTTAAAGGTACTTACAGGTAGGCCTCTGGGCCCAGGTTAAAGGTACTTACAGGTAGTTCTCTAGGCCCAGGTTAAAGGTACTTAAAGGTAGTTCTCTAGGCCCAGGTTAAAGGCACTTACAGGTAGTTCTCTAGGCCCAGGTTAAAGGTACTTACAGGTAGGCCTCTAGGCCCAGGTTAAAGGTACTCACAGGTAGGCCTCTAGGCCCAGGTAATCCATGTAACCCTCTCTCTCCCTCCAGACCATTGGCTCCCTGGGGACCGGTCAAACCCTCATGACCCGGCTGCCCTGGTCTACCATTTTCCCCGGTATATCCTCTCATGCCCTTCTCTCCAATCTAGAGGTTAGTGGACAACACAACATGACTTAAATGTTAACTGTATACCATACAGCATTCAATTATTCCATAAACCAACCAACCAATCAACCAATCAAACAATCAACAAACCAATCAAACAAACAACCAACCAACCAACCAACCAACCAATCAATCAATTAACCAACCAATCAACCAATCAATTAAACTGTAACATTGTTCTGTACCTCTCCTTTGATCCCAGGAACACCAGGAGGACCCTATAAAACAACAATAATCAACTGAATTAGGACCATTGTAATCACTACAAATACAGGGGAATACTAAAGCTAGAGCAGATGTATCTCTCAGTAGAACATATACCTGGTCTCCTTTGACTCCAGAATCGCCTGTAAGACCTGGATCACCCTGTGGAGAGAGGTAAGATTGTCAATACAGATAGTGTATCTTACAAAAGAATACTGTCTCATTGTTGACATGATATATGGTATTGACGTGAATCCATAGACTTACTTCACTTCCCTTTGGGCCAATGGGACCAATAGGACCCTAGGAACAAGACACAGGAAATTAGAAATCATTCAAACCCATTCATCTACAAACTGACAACTATTACCAAAACAATAGGCTACACATCAGGACTCACCTGGTCTCCCTTATATCCAGTGTGACCCTTCAGTCCCTTTTCACCAGTATCACCTTTGTCCCCTTTGTCACCCTGCATGCCTGTATCACCTGTGACCCCAACTGGTCCCTGCTTTCCGGTCTCGCCCTGGGGAGAGTGAAGCAGGATCAATAAGACTCACGGTTATTATTAAAGATACTCTAATAATTGTGGGTTGATGTGAGTTTAGCTATCAGCTCATTGTTACCATCAGATATGGATCGTTATTGATGAGCAATATGCATGACAATCATATTTGAATATATGAATAAAAAATGACTACTGTCATGTAGATTTCATAACAGACTATTATAAGCTGTTGAACTACAATAAAATGTTAAAAATTGTCAACTTACAGTAGCTCCCTTGTCTCCTGGTTTTCCATCTTCTCCTGCTGGTCCAGTTGCCCCCTAAACAAACAATATAGTCTTATTAAGCTCTTCAGCACCATCAGTAGAATATGGATCCACAGTCATGGCTAGCGGTGTTGAGTGATAGTAAACACTAAACTATGAAATTTGATACTCACTGTTTTCCCAGGAACTCCGATTGGTCCTACTGGTCCGTCAGCTCCTGTGTCACCCTGGACAAAAAGCATACTGTTTACAATAGACAACAGAAGGAATGAAATTGTACCCAAGATACGCACACACGCACACAGACACACACACGCACACAGACACACACACGCACACAGACACACACACGCACACAGACACACACATGCACACAGACACACACACGCACGCACGCACACAGACACACACACGCACACAGACACACACACGCACGCACACAGATACACACACGCACACAGACACACACACACACACAGACACACATACAGACACACAAACACACACAGACACACACACGCACACAGACACACACACGCACACAGACACACATACGCACACAGACACACGCACGCACACAGACAAATAAATGCACACAGACACACACATGCACACAGACACACACATGCACACATTTTACCTTGGCACCTCCAGCTCCAACCAGCCCCTGCTTTCCTGGTAACCCCTGCAGAAAAAACACACGGGATATCCTCAGAATACCGTACAGTATATTGTTATTTTTTAGAGTATTACAACATATGGGATGGACTACTTCCTTGTTGTGTTGTTTCTGTTGATTCTGTTTCCCCTGCTATGTCCTCTGACCTGTGTAACCAGCCAGACAGGCGAGGATGGGACGGTTGTGGTTTCTGTATTGGATGTTTCCTTCTGCATGGCTGTTTGCTTCTAAATGTTTTATTAATCTGGTCTGCAGTGTGGTTTGACTGGAAGGCAACCAACCTCTCTATTGATTTTCATAGCTTTTGCTTTTCTTTTAATACCAACAAAACCTTGTAAGGCCATCTAATCTATAATTATATTAGTAGATTAATGATATTTATTTTAGACAAATGTCAAAGATTAATATTAGACTCACTGGAATTCCGACGATACCCCTGATTCCGACAGTCCCGGGAACGCCAGCTTCTCCCTGTTGGAAAGATGAAAGGTACGTTCACAGGATAACAGATTGATTGACAGATCTTTTAAGACTGGATATATTCTCTTTATTTAAACTATACTAACTAACTATACTAAACTCTATATATGTACAGCAGTCATAAAACGTTGACTGACCTTAGCTCCATCCACTCCATGGAGTCCATCCATGCCATCTGCCCCAGGAGTACCCTGTAATCACAGCATCATAATCACACTCAATCTAACTATACAACTAACACTACAAAAGGATCTCGCATCCATCTGATAACGTATTAGTAAGGAAATAAGATCAATTGATGTTGTATTGTATGTTTACTCACAGTGTCTCCTTTTGCACCAACAGGACCCTGCTCTCCTTGAGGACCGATGGCTCCCTGAGAAAATGCACATGCAATGAACCATGCAACAATTTAGGCAAACAGAAAGGCTTGGAACAAAACAATTTTTAGAAAGGCCAGTAAAAATGCTAGAGATACTGTAGAAGAGAGGAGATACTCACATCATCACCCTTTTCTCCCTCCAGACCCTGACGTCCACGAACGCCCTCCACACCCTAACAGAAAACAAGTGGTCACTACAGAACATAATGGCAGACATTTTGGAAAACACTGTTCAGTTCTAGGTAATATCAACCACAGTCTGTCCTCCAGTCATTGATAGAAAATGGCAGTTATAAGTGATTGAGTTGATTAAATTAGTAGTGCTTACAGGAGAACCCGGTGGTCCGGTGGGTCCTGGGATGCCGTTGAAACCAGGGGGACCCTGAGAGGAGGAGAAAACACGGATGGTGAGTTTAAGATCCTAAACGCTAAAGTAGAACATCAACAAGACTTGTAGTAAATATAGTTTGAAACCCTTACCCTGTCTCCCTTATCTCCAGGACTACCAGGAAAACCAATAGGACCTCTTTGTCCCTGGAATGTATTACAGATGTTAAAATGAATAATATTTGATATGATTCACAGTGATGCACAGCAAAAACATTAAACAGTTATAAATGGCTGGTTGTATGACCAATTTCCACTTGAAGCAGAAATCCTATGTACCATCTCTGAATATGCAGATACTAATTTTTTGCTTTAGGCAGAAATCCTTTGTAACATTTTAGTATGCTCAAGATACACAATTTCCAATTGAGGCAGAAATCCTGTGTAACATGTTGGTATGCTCATTACCTATGTTCTGCTTGGAACAGGAAGAAATAGGTATACAAATGACAAAACGAGTGACTGGGACTTTCGTTATCAGACAGTGAAGTAGAATATCAGCCTGGATATGTTGGTATCGTTCAGAGCAAGGAAGGTTCTTACATCATCTCCCATCTTGCCTGGTAGGCCCTGCACCCCAGATGGTCCTGGCTCGCCCTGTGGATTAGCAACATAGGAAAAACACAAATACTCACATGTAGTGATTTGTATGCTTGAACAATCATCCTAACCACCCAATGTACTTAAGCACAATGTCAAACATCACACTTCTTCACTAAACATCAGAATTGATTGCTTGTCATACCTTTTGTCCAGCTTCCCCTGCAGCTCCATTATCACCTGGTATTCCCTTGTGTCCCTGGAAATGACATAGCAATCCAGTTTAGACTGAATGTCATCTACTATCAGAAGCTCTACACATTGGTGGTTCATACAGTGATTTTCCCCCTACAATGTAAAGTGCTTTGAGCATCTGGAAAAGCCATACATCAATCCATTAAATTATCAGATACTGGTATCTGAGAGAAAACCAATGGCCACCATGTTGTGAATAATGATAAGGGCTCTGTTGCCCAAAGCCAGGTATGTATTAATTCAGTGTCTGTCATTAAGATTCCTCACCTTCATCCCTGGTAGCCCTGGGTTTCCCTGTGGTCCAGCTGGACAGGCAGCAGGGCACTGCAGACAAACATAGACAGACACAGATATAACATTATCACTACACCTGCAGAGGGCTCACCTCCTATTCAATAGCCACTGACCAAAGAACACTATAGCTACCAATTTTCCACATGCAGGTTTGTTAAAATTAAATGACAGCAACAACAACAGTTTCTAAAGGAAGTGTGAATTAAGCTGAAGTGTAGTTATTACAACAACATTAGGCTCTGAACCACCTAGTCCCACCCTCTAGCAGACCCTCTGAAATATGATAAAAAGAGACTCACATCTTCCCCACTCCCCTCAGCTTTGCCAGCCCCAGGTGGTCCCTTAAAGACAACAGAGTGAGTGACACAGTACATATCTCTATGGAGTGACATCTAAAACCGAGTTTAGATGTCCACAAACACTACAGCAAATATATCCAGTGTTTGAGGCTGTGCAATCAACATCCAGTAATGCAGAACTGATACTGATTATCACTCTGCATCAGGGTTAAGATGCCACCCTAAAAGTCAGAGAGAACTCTTATGACAATATTGATAAAATAAATACTTAGGTTAATGGGAAAAACCAAAGAGACATAACCACAATAGAGAGGAACATAGGTCAAGACTCCAAGTCGGGAAAACAGAGATCAATTCACACAGAGATGATACAGATGTTGAATTCACCAATTTCAGGTTAGAGCCAGAAGTCAGAGGTTAGCATCAGTACTTACCACAGGTCCAGGTGGTCCTGGTAGACCAGCAGGACCAGGGAGACCCAGACCACCTCTAGGCCCAGGGGGACCCTGATAACAACATGGACAGTTACATTTAGACATGAAACACACAGAGAATGTCCTAATAGACACTGAAAAGTCTGACATATCAGTAATGTATGTTACAAAATGGTCCACAGACTATCAAAAGGACCAATGATAAAGTAGCACTATGACTGCTATGACACACAGTGCAGAATGCAGAACATATCCTGTATGTTTTTATTGCTGGATGTGTTCTGTTTAATCAGTCATTTACTATAGTTGTGTAGGATGTGATCCTTATTTGAACACTGACCTCAGGCCCAATGTTCCCCTCATCTCCTGGAGTTCCTGCTTTCCCAGGTGGGCCCTGTAGGAGCGACATACACAAGTTATACGATTATTCTATAGCCCGTTAGTAGGACTCGATTAAAAAACTGTATGCTGTATTAATGCTGTTTAGAACATGGGGTGAAGATTATCTAAAGATGTTGAAGAGTGTGTAGGACATACGGGGGGTCCAGCTGTCTCAGGTCCCTGGGAAATGAGAGAAAAGAACAATCAGATAAATCATATTATTTAGCTATAGAAATGAAGTGTTCTGACATGTTCCATGGCTTGATGGCTATACATATCAGCAAAATATTCCCATATATATATATACGATGCTCTAAAGATAGTGGATACTTACGGGAGAACCTGCTGGCCCAGGAAAACCTTGAAGTCCCTGTTATTAGACACAGAACAGTCAAATATTAGTTAACATTGTCCCTGCTGTTACAGTTATTAGCAAAATATTGTTTCTTTAGTAGGTTCCGGGAAGAGAAATAACTCACTCTCTCGCCCACAGGTCCTCTTGGGCCCATTGAACCAGGTACTCCCTTCATTAAAAATAGGAGAAATCATTGATCTGGCCAAAGCTAATAAATAAGGTGATAGAGAACAACTCTTTCTTACTCCACAAGACAAAATAGAGGTTGAGTGTGTGACAGGTGGTGTGTGTGGTACAGGTTGATTGTGTGACAGGTGGTGTGTGTGGTACAGGTTGAGTGTGTGACAGGTGGTGTGTGTGGTACAGGTTGAGTGTGTGACAGAGGGTGTGTGTGGTACAGGTTGAGTGTGTGACAGAGGGTGTGTGTGGTACAGGTTGAGTGTGTGACAGGTGGTGTGTGTGGTACAGGTTGAGTGTGTGACAGAGGGTGTGTGTGGTACAGGTTGAGTGTGTGACAGGTGGTGTGTGTGGTACAGGTTGAGTGTGTGACAGGTGGTGTGTGTGGTACAGGTTGAGTGTGTGACAGGTGGTGTGTGTGGTACAGGTTGAGTGTGTGACAGGTGGTGTGTGTGGTACAGGTTGAGTGTGTGACAGGTGGTGTGTGTGGTACAGGTTGAGTGTGTGACAGGTGGTGTGTGTGGTACAGGTTGAGTGTGTGACAGGTGGTGTGTGTGGTACAGGTTGAGTGTGTGACAGAGGGTGTGTGTGGTACAGTAGGAGGTAGTGATCCTTACAGCAGCTCCTGGTAGGCCAGGCAGGCCTCTCTGTCCAGGCAGACCGATCTCCCCCTTGTCCCCTTTGACGCCCTGAGTTACAGACACAACAGATGGCTGAGTTACAGACACAACAGATGGCTGAGTTACGGACACAACAGATGGCTGAGTTACAGACACAACCAAAGCCATATATAGCAGACCCAACCAAAGCTAAGTATTGCTCTGTCCACAAAAAAATCTGACAAACAGCTTTATCATCTGTCTGCATCGCTCGTCGCCGTTGCTAAGATACTCCATGGCATTGCCAGTCAGCGTTTAATCAACGAAAGATGTGCAATTCTCATGAGTACAGACAGAGAGAGAGAGATAAAGGGAAGACAGGGTGGAGTAGAGAACACTGATCTATTTTTTGCAGCTAAATTGATTGTAAGTAATGACATAGGTTGAGCTACAGGATGGCAACAAAGAGTAAAATAAATATTTAGAGAATGAAACACGTTTAATAATATGACATCTCGTACTTACAAGAGCGCCAGCACTGCCAGGTGAACCTGGAAGGCCCTGCAAGAAAAAAGAAAGACATTGGTTATCCATTCTAGTCATTGAGAATAGAGAATTAAGAAAAGTGTGTACTGGCTGTCTAAGTTTGAGGCAATATCCAGCATGGATGCTATGGTTAATTTTTCATTCTAGTTTGGATGGGGTGGATAGACTTACATCTCTCCCGTCTCTGCCGTCCTCTCCGTGTGGCCCCCGGGGCCCCTCAGGGCCGGTGGGACCGGGAGGGCCAGGGACAGGCTTGGGGTCAGGCTGGAGGGAGAAGAGACAACACAGTCGATGAGTACATGAGAAGGAGTGAAGGCCACTCTGAGGGGAGTGGAGAAATGTCTTACTCCAGCCAGAGTTTGATTGTGCCACTAAAGTAACAAAGCATCGAGGCAATTAGGCAACAGAGCATTGAAGTAGATTATTTGCCCCAAAAACACCAAGAAAAAAGAAGGTAGAAAAGATAAATACCTCAGCATTGGCATACATCTGAAGAAGCAAGAGAAATAAGAAACATGTAGAGTTAGTGAAGTAGTCACACCACCTTCACCCAAAGTGTCAGAAGAAGCTACAGCATTAGTCCAAAAACAATAGCTGTGAGCAGAGTCATATAGGATCTATCTATGGCTCTGGCTGTGAGCATATCATGCTGTCATTTACATACAGAACCCCATAGTAAACTGCCCACCTGTACCATTTTAGTGTTGGCGTACTGAAAAGATACCAGTGTACGCAGAAAAGTTACCCTCAAAGCTAGAGGGAATAGACCATTGTCAAATAAAGACAGACTGGAGCTTTTCATTCTGCAGTCTATGGGACAATAGGTCTCTACCCACTCATAACAGCATGTACTCTAACCTACAACTCTGACCCGAGGAGTCAGACTTTAATGTGCTGCCACTTTATGAAATGTGTCTAGTCTAAATTGAGAGTGAGAGCTGGCAGTATTCTCTCTGTATAAACTTAACTGCTTATTTGACATATTTATTGTAATCATAGCACTCCTACAATAGTATAACAGGCCATCCTATCTCTTCACAATTTTGCAGGTGCAGATTCATAGAAGCCAGTTAGTGAAAGTTATGTTGCTGGTCAATATGAACCCAAAACCAATGCAAGTATAGACCAGGTGGAGCCAAGGTTGTTGTTGTTACCTCTGTGGCAGGCAGCTCCTGGCAGTTCTCTCTATTGGCTCTCTTTGGGTCGCAATGGATCAGCATCCACTGGAGTTCAAACTAGAATGAGACAATGGCATGATATTGATCATTTAACATAACATAGCATAGCATAGCATGGCATGGTTAAACATAACATAAAGTATCATAACATTTTTCAGCTTCAATCAAATATTTGTTTGATAGAGTCATATGACACTAAAACTATGCCTATGCTTGCTTATGGCACAGTTATTCTAGTTCTGTTTATGTTCTCTACGAGCTGAATGTGTTTAAAGCCTGCATTTTCCTCAAGGGAGATTTCCGAGTAGAGGAACATGATTTTGTGGCAGTGGAACCCCATTGAGCCGCAGTTCTGCTGTGGCAGCAGCACTTTAGAATTACAGCAATGCTCAGCACACATATAAACCCATACCCTCTATGGTTGAAGAGCTTCACAGACTCATATGATAACGCTTACTGTATAACAAAGCACCGCTGGGGAACCAACACCTTCTCAGCCTTAGCCTGATCCCAGATCTGTTTGTGCGGTCTTGCCAACTCCTATGGTTATTGTCATCTCAAACAACGACCAAAAGAGTTGGCAATGCAGCACAATACAGCTATCCCTGCCCCACTCACCACAACAGAAGCATTAGCGTCAACGTCCAGCCTCCCAATAAGTGTATCTCCCTCTGTGTTCACTGGGCCTTTCCCCTTGATGGGCTTCTTGTCCACGGGCTGACAGTCCACATACAGGGTGACCTGGTCTCTCTCCACCCCAATCATCACCTGTAAGGATATGGTATAGGGTTACTGTTGTTGATCCTCAGGGGCCACCGTAATTCATCCGGAGACTGCTAGCTAAATAAACCAGTTTTGAAACTGCTAATTTTGTAATCAGTCATCACTAATTACATTGTACCAGGAGTAGGGTTGCATATTTCCAGTAACTTTCTCAAAATGTCCAGGCTTTCCAGGATTTCCCTCTTATTACCTCCTGATTCCGGGAATCTTCCATCTGAGATCTCTGGAAAAACTGGGAATTTTGGGATAGTTACTGAATTTTGCAATGCAAACCAGGAGTACCATCACTCATTCCATCACCTTGTGCCACTTGGTGTTGAACAACACAGATAGCCCTGGGAAGGTAACGGTCTGCAGGTTGCCGTCCTGGCCCATCAGGAAGTACTCCAGCGCTTGTTGGTCTCCGTTTAGCCTGAGCCCCGCCTGCTTCCAGCCGTCCTCGTCCACCACCTGCCACACGTTCCACACCTTGTTCACCGTGTTCTTGATCATACGGAACGTGACCATGACGGAGTACTCGTCAGGAAAACCCCGGGGGAAATTGAGCCTGGGTGAAGAAGAACAGAAGATGAAAATGAAGATAAAGATGGGTGGGAGAGGGAGGAGGAGAGGAAAGGGTTGATACAGGAAGGAATCCTCAACAGGGAAGCCCCTAGGGACGTTCATCCTCAGTAGGAGAGGGATGGATGGACAGAGGAAAGGGTTCAAATGTATCTTTACAAAATCGTAATTTAGATGATTCTCATAAAGAATGCAGTTTAGTTAGAGTCATAGAGAAGAGGTCACAGAGGGCGACGTTTCTCAGCGGGTAAAAAAGCAGCTTTCCATCACATGCACACAGTTTGGTTCTAGGATTTCAGAACTCTGATGGCGGCTAATGTCAAAGACACTCCATCATCATCACAAAGCATCACACACAGCGATTCAGTTCCCTTCCCGCTCCTCACGCCCACGATAACATTCTGAATGGAGACATCAATCAAACCCTAACACTTTTATGTTCAAAGCTCTCCAGTCCTCTCTCTTTCTCTCTCTCTATCCCTCATCTCTCCCTGTCTCTAATGCATGATGCATGCATAACGCAACAGTTACAATTAATCCAAAGGAACAATAAGGCCCCTCAAACCCATCAAACCTTTCTGTTTTAAACAGAAGCAGAGCCCCAGTGGCTCTGATCAACAGATCAACTAAGCAGTCGACCCGTCTCAGTTTCTAACACTCATTATAATCTAAAAGGGAAAACTGATCCTAGAGCAGCACTCCTACTTAACGCTTTAGAAATACGAGCCCTGGGGTTTTAACTAGCCATGCCAAAGGCTCCATAGGTGGTGCCTTAATGGGTGGGAGCTGCAGAGCTGCAGTCAGCTTGTAAATAGATCAAGACAAGGCAATAAAAAAGGAGTTTCCTGTAACCCAATAAAACAAATGAAGACCACTCTCTCTAACGTTCCTGCTGTGTGCCTGTGTGTCTGTGTATGTGTGTGTGTGTGTGTGTTAAGTGCACCTTGGGAGAAAGTCTCTCACAGCCTAGGCCAGGGTTTGATGTGTGTTGTGTTGTAGGCCTCTATCCCCTGCAGTGGTAAGGGCACAGGAATCGGAAATCAACCTTTCTGATGACAGACTTCAAAGCCCAGACAGACTGGACACTGGACTCCAAGGGATACATGTTTTTGTGATTAGTGTCGCGTTGTCCTGAGTGGCATGAGGCAGACTGGAAGGTGTCAGTATGTTACATGACAGAATGTGAAAACAGGCCCACCACATTAGCCATACCAGACCAGCAGTGAAACACTAGAAGACAGGTTAAGTTATGTAAAAAGGTAACCATTTAGCAACAACTTCTAGCCTATTAAGCAATGTGCAATCAGTCTAAGCTGAAAATGGCAGATTGTGTAGTGGTTTTAGATCAAACAAATTACGGGATACAGCACCAGGCTAGACGATCCCCACACATTCACTGCTTGATCTAGACAAGACACACACACACACACACACACACACTAAAATATTAATAAAACTACAACTAAGAATGCAGCATGATTAAATGTGTCTCTGTGTTTCCAGGAGGAGATATTTCGGGGGGGGGGGGGTGGGGGGTTCCCCCCTCGTCGCCAAGAGATGCCAAATAGGTTCAGACATGTTGTTCTGTGCCAATTACAAGCTGTTTCACAGTGTGATAACACCTGTATGGAACCTGTAATAATACAACACCTGCATCGACCCAGGGGAAAGCATTTATTTGTGTATGTGTGCATGTGTGTGTGTGTGTGTTTAGCGATTATATGTGTGTTTCTCTTTCTGGTTTCTTCATTCTTTCTTTACCTGGTAGATATTTGAAAGCTGGCCTCTCTTATCAAACCATAATAATATAACACCTGCATCGACAAGCTCCAGCATTTTCTTTTTCTGTTTTTCCTTACCTGGTAGGAATCTGGAAGTTGGCCTCCCTATCGAGGCGGTACGCCACCTGGAGAGGAGTGGAGCCCTCCACCTTCCTTACCCCCTTCAGAGGAATAACATCCAACTGGAACTGGGTGATCAGATCAAACCCTAAAAGAGATTTAAACTGATTTTCAGATATCTCCTGTATCGTTCAGAATGAATGACATGTTACATTACCATACATATCTCTTGAATCATTCTGGTGAAGTATATGTTATATACTGTGTTCCAGAAGTACAAAAATAAAAATGATGCACATCTGATTGACAGGTACTGGACTTTTTTGTATCCTACACACAGTGTTATAAAAGTGCAAGGGCATATTTCTGGTTCACATTCTAGTTTGCAACAAGTCATGTAAAGTGGACATTTTGGAATTTCAGTGTTGTCCCACTTTACTATGTTTAACGGTTTATTCTTATTTAGTAATCTGTATGAAACACTGGGTGCAGTGATATGACTAGCATATTATTCTAATTAGTTGTTCTCTTGCTTGGGCTGGCAACACATAGTACAACATGTGCTTTGAAGGCAGCTAGTGCATCTGTTCCTACCAGGGCGCTGGTACACAATTAACATCTTAATGAGCTAGAATTGTTCCTACTAAAATCTGTCAGGCTTCAGCAGAATATTTTATGTGGCTCATTTGAAATCTAAAGGTGTCTCAAGTCATTAAGCATTTAGACAGCCCAGTTCACTAAGCAATCACAGCAGCTAGCTTAATTGTGACATTCTGTATTTCTGTAAACCAAGGCTGGTGGTTTTCTGGTCATTTAAAATGTAAGTCTTTGCTGTCTAGTGAAGAGAAAAACCACAGGGACTATAGTATTGAACTCCCCCTTCTGACCTGGTGTCTTGAAGAGAGGTGATACTTGGTTACAGAAAGACATCTCATTACTACTGGCTCAGAGCTCCTGAGATATCTTGTAGTGTATGATACAACGTTGGGTATGTAGTATGTCTTCCCATGCAGGTCTCCTTTGATTACATCATAAACTATATCCACATCTCATGGTACAGGGCGCAAGCAAGCTGTGGCCAAAGTCAGACCGCAGTGGAAGCAAATTGTTGCTGCCTTATGTCCGACCAGGGATGAAGAGGACTAAGTTAGTACGCATATTCACATAGTCAATATTTCTAAAAGACAACATATGATTGTTAGTATTTACTGTATACTTTACCTGGAAGGTCATCTTGTCCATTTCTCATGGGAGGGCAGACAGCTGTGTCCCCATCTAACCTGTTGAGATCTAACTCTGATGGAAAACAAACAGAGACAGCAGCTTGGTTAGGATGTTTCTGTTCACAGCACCAACCAGACACCACAAGGTAAGAATGCCAATTCACCTTATGCTCATGATCCACACTGGATGCATTTTTAATGTTGGTTATTCTTAAAGCTGCAGCGTCTATATTTCTCAAGTTAATTACACAAGCACAAACTCAACAGCGTGTTTATTGTATTGAAAAGAATGGACACATACTTTGATGTGCTTTATATATGTTAGTATGGGATGACAGAGGTTATGTTGATGAATGTTGTAGTGTGACTGTGGATCGGGTAAGGCCATATTGCCTTACATACCCTGTAAAGCCTGTAAAGAGACTAACGAAGGTCAGACTGACAGGTAAAACCTCTTTGTACCTGTGATTTATTGAGATGCAAGTCCCTCTGGGGACTAATGTAATAAGCTATGAATCATAAATCACACTATTGTGCTTTAATTTCTGCTTTCATCCTCAATGTTTTTCTTGGGCGATTGAGTGACCTATAATGGTCTTGTGTCTTTAGTCTTTGTTAATTTACTATAGCCTACATATCTGGCTGGAATTCTAAATTCTTAACAGTCATTGGATGGGATTGATTGAAAAAGAAAGCTACTGCAATGTAACTTAAACCTGATGTGATTTTTTACATTTCCTTCTCAACTAAAACTTTAAGTGAACCTTGAAACTTGAAACAATGACAGCGGAAACATTTGATAATGTTTCATTAAAGAGCCTTGCTCTACTGTAGTAGTATCATCTCAATGTGAAGCTACTAAAGTGTTCCAGATTCAGAGAACAGATCTCCTCCGCTCCTCCTCCTGTTTTAAAGGAGGATGAAAACACCTTGCAGGGAAACTAGGAAACAAAGATATGGAAGTAATGAAACAACACTGGGAGCCGGAGGGCCTCTATCCTCTACTCCCAGAGTCGATAACCTGAGTCAGCTTATTTGGATGTTCAGAGTGTGGAGGCAACACATCTGGAAGCCCCTATTGGCTCCACCATAACTGCTGAGTAGAGGGGATACTTTGGGGAGATGGTATTTATCCTGTGTATTTAGTGGCCATAAACACTTCTCTCACTGTGCAGTGTGGGCTGTAAGTAGTTAACGACTCCCTCTCCAACACCATGGATTGTGTCCCAAATGGCACCCTATTCCGTATATAGTGTACTACTTTTGACCAGATCCCTAAAGAAAAAAAATCCAGAAAATCACATTGTAGGATTTTTTATGAATTTATTTGCAAATTATGATGGAAAATAAGTATTTGGTCAATAACAAAAGTTTCTCAATACTTTGTTATATACCCTTTGTTGGCAATGACACAGGTCAAACGTTTTCTGTAAGTCTTCACAAGGTTTTCACTCACTGTTGCTGGTATTTTGGCCCATTCCTCCATGCAGATCTCCTCTAGAGCAGTGATGTTTGGGGCTGTCGCTGGGCAACACGGACTTTCAACTCACTCCAAAGATTTTCTATGGGGTTGAGATCTGGAGACTGGCTAGGCCACTCCAGGACCTTGAAATGCTTCTTACGAAGCCACTCCTTCGTTGCCCGGGCGGTGTGTTTGGGATCATTGTCATGCTGAAAGACCCAGCCACATTTCATCTTCAATGCCCTTGCTGATGGAAGGAGGTTTTCACTCAAAATCGCACGATACATGGCCCCATTCATTCTTTCCTTTACACGGATCAGTCGTCCTGGTCCCTTTGCAGAAAAACAGCCCCAAAGCATGATGTTTCCACTCCCATGCTTCACAGTAGGTATGGTGTTCTTTGGATGCAACTCAGCATTCTTTGTCCTCCAAACACGACGAGTTGAGTTTTGACCAAAAAGTTATATTTTGGTTTCATCTGACCATATGACATTCTCCCAATCCTCTTCTGGATCATCCAAATGCACTCTAGCAAACTTCAGACGGGCCTGGACATGTACTGGCTTAAGCAAGGGGACACGTCTGGCACTGCAGGATTTGAGTCCCTGGCGGCGTAGTGTGTTACTGATGGTAGGCTTTGTTACTTTGGTCCCAGCTCTCTGCAGGTCATTCACTAGGTCCCCCCGTGTGGTTCTGGGATTTTTGCTCACCGTTCTTGTGATCATTTTGACCCCACGGGGTGAGATCTTGCGTGGAGCCCCAGATCGAGGGAGATTATCAGTGGTCTTGTATGTCTTCCATTTCCTAATAATTGCTCCCACAGTTGATTTCTTCAAACCCTGCTGCTTACCTATTGCAGATTCAGTCTTCCTAGCCTGGTGCAGGTCTACAATTTTGTTTCTGGTGTCCTTTGACAGCTCTTTGGTCTTGGCCATAGTGGAGTTTGGAGTGTGACTGTTTGAGGTTGTGGACAGGTGATAACAAGTTCAAACAGGTGCCACGTAACGAGTGGAGTACAGAGGAGCCTCTTAAAGAAGAAGTTACAGGTCTGTGAGAGCCAGAAATCTTGCTTGTTTGTAGGCGACCAAATACTTATTTTCCACCATAATTTGCAAATAAATTCATAAAAAATCCTACAATGTGATATTCTAGATTTTTTTCCCTCAATTTGTCTGTCATAGTTGACGTGTACCTATGATGGAAATTACAGGCCTCTCATCTTTTTAAGTGGGAGAACTTGCACAATTGGTGGCTGACTAAATACTTTTTTTCCCCCACTGTATGTGTTATTGTATCTCTCTGACAGCTCGGAAGAGAGGCTTATACAGATCTAGGATCTTATTTTGAGCCAGTTTGCTACAGAAGGAAAATAATGTGAATTATTATGTGGATTATAATTATTATAATTTATTTGTAGGGGTTGATACATTTTTTGTTAGGGCAAATCAAGTCTGACATTTGTAAGTGGAAATTACAAACTTTAGAAGCCTTTGTAAACCAAATATACACTACAACTTTGCATTTCCTGCTGTGCAGGAAAATGTCTTCAACAACAGGATGATCAAATTAAGATACGGCATCTGTAACAATTAAGAAACCAGAGATTATCTGAATTAATTTTACAGACTAGTACATTACGCTACACTACGTCTGCTATTTCTGTCTTAATAATAGATTTGCATTTGTAATAAATGGAATGACCTGTGATAGTATTCTGAAACAACTTGTGTGTTTTGATACCAAAAAGAAAGTTAATTATCCATATCAAAAGTAGTTGGGCAAACAAACACCACATCCCAGTAGTACACCGTTATGAGGAAGTGATGTGCCCATCATGATCCTGGAGGCTTCTGGGTAACTTACGGCCGAGGGCAGGAGAGAGTAGCAGAGAGAGGAGGGCCATGCAGGTAGAGGGGTACAGCAACATTGCTGGGTGCCATGGTCGCTTCCTGAGGGAAGAAAGAGAGAGAGAGAGAGAGAGAGAGAGAGAGAGAGAGAGAGAGAGAGAGAGGACAGCTCAGTCATCATGTCTTTGGCCTGAATTGATTAAGCTTTAGAGTAGTGACACATTAAAAGAGATTACAACTCACGTAGACACATCAATATTATCTGACAGAAGTGACATACAGTATGTGACATACTGATCTTTACTGTATTAATAATCACAATCAGTTTAATAGATCAAGATCTTATGACAACACAAACACAGAAACCCATCAATTTCTCCTTTGACAGGTAATGGGGGAAACTGTGTAATGATGATGTTCATAAGCAGTGCCAGACACAAGTGTACATCTATGCCAGACACAAGTGTACATCTATGCCAGACACGAGTGTACATCTATGCCAGACACAAGTGTACATCTATGCCAGACACGAGTGTACATCTATGCCAGACACAAGTGTACATCTATGCAAGACACGAGTGTACATTGTCTAATACATTAGCTCAATGTCTGTCATTACTAAGTAGGCTTATAGAAATAGTAAATTAATAGCTACACACAGTAAAGACAGACATTGTGTCGTAGAAAGCAGAAACAGAGAAAATAACTTTGGAGAACAGGCCTCTGACAATTGTTGTCATACACAGGCCTACACCACAGGTGCTGTTGAGGGGAGGACTGCTCATAATAATGGCCTGAACGGAGTGAATGGAATGGTAATCTAAACACATGGAAACCATGTGTTTCATGTATTTGATACCATTCCACCAATTCCGCTCCAGCCATTACCACAAGCCCGTCCTCCCCAATTAAGGTGCCACCAACCTCCTGTGGCTTACATATGAATGTGTACTACATAAAACAACAACATTGTGCTGTGTGTCCTCAGACCGCTCCACAGACAATTCTCTCTCTTTCCCTCCCCTGGCCTTGTTTTCCTCAACCCTCCACAGCCTCTTCATCAGCCCTATCAGAAGGCTGACAGGCAGGGTGATATGGAGTGATGGCCGAGGCACCAAGGCAGTGTGTGACGGCAGAGACAGTCTACATGAAGGTATTTTTTAGAAAGAGAGATGATCGGTGGCGTGTTAAAGCTGAGATCTGCATTAGGGGAAACAGCGCCACTGGCTGCCCCCAGGCGCATTTGTTTTGTTTATTAAACGGCAGTGAGGAGCTCTAGCATCAAGGTAAAACAAATAATTGTTTGAAGTAACATCTTTATTGTTGTAATATCGCAAACGAACATGGCAGTTTCACTGCTATGGATTCCAACTTTAAGGAGACAGGGAGGATGGGAGAGAGAGGGGGGTGCTGTCAGAGAAATGACTAATGGCTTACTCAGCAAGGTCCCTACAGCGAAGGGAGGTAAGAGGCAGTTAGCCACTAACATATGCCCTTCACCATGGAGGATGCTGCCCAAATCACTACAGCCTGGCAGCCCTGCATCTCCCCATGCCCATCAATCTATCTACCAGCCTGTTAGCCAAGAACAGCCCTGGCCTTATAATGGTTATGGGGAGGGCTTTCACTGACAGGAACCCTGGACCACAGTACAGTACATCCACCAACACAAACTACAAGACTATCTGGAACAGGTAGCTTTTGTTTGCTTTACTGTGAAATAGCTCGTGTAGCTCAGTTGGTAGAGCATGGCGTTTGCAACGGCAGGGTTGTGGGTTCGTTTCCCACGGGGGGCCAGCATGAAAAAAATTAAATTATGTATGCACTCACTAGTTGTGCAGAGTATGTATGCACTGGATAAGAGCGTCTGCTAAATGACTAAAATGTAAATGATTTTGTCCTGCACCACTAGTTGTGCAGAGCAGTTTTAGTGTGAGACATGAGAGTGAGGGGAAGGAGAGAGAGAGAAAGAGAGAGAGAGAGTGAGAGAGAATACAATGTAGCACTAATTGGGGTTAATTCACAAAAAATATGTCCTTGTACATTCCTTCTGGGCTTTTCAATTTGCATTGGTCCTTAGATCCAGTCTGATATTGTGACATACAGGAAAGGAAAGCTTAGTGTTCTTTGATGCCTTGTGTACCATAGACTCCCAACCCTTGGGGATAAACTGTCACAGCAAGCAATAGCATCAAAAATGTTCTGACACTGATGGTCTGGGAAAGCTTGACAGCGATCTTAACATCAGCTCTTGAGCTGCAGAAAATATCTTTGGAAAAGCAATTGTGTTTTGACTTTTTCCCATACTATGTTGTCAGGCCACAGATGAAACTATAAAGCAAGCCAACAGGGCAACAACCTCAACAACTCTATTCTCAGGGGGAAATTCTAAATCAAAATGCTGCATCTCAGCCAGAGTTTCTAGTCTATACTACTGTGTCGTGAAAGTAAGGTCAAAGGCATTAAGATTGCGCCTCTTTTATCTTTCATCGAGAGCAATTACAACTCGGTGATCAGTCATCACTCTCTCTGAGTGAAAAGCACAGTGTGTTATCTCCAGCATCCAGAGCTTGTTTGAATGTTTTCTGGCCTCCTCGCTGTGCCTCTGGTGTCACCCATATGGCCTTGTCCCCAAGCGTCCCAGAGCCTGGACCGTGTAGTAAGCCTGCACTCTAGCTCTCCTGGCGTGACTTCTGTTGCTCTCATTTGTCTTAATTACACCAACTGGACCCTCATTCCAGTCTCTGCTGCTCAGCCTTACAAATTAAACCCTGCAGTATCACTCACTTGAATTAGTAAGTTAATCATTTGGTAGCATTCCCCAGACAAAGCTTTAGGTCATAAGTGTGTGTGTGTGTGTGTGTGCCACTCTCATTGCCACAGGGGGTCAAAAGGTGACAGGCCAGCATGCACGCACTGACACACACACAGGCAATTAGGCACACACACACCACATGGCAGTGTCTGTGTGACAGAGGCTATTCGAGAGGCCAGATGGATCTTTAACAGAGCTCTAAACCATGATAAAGACACAGTTAACCAGCCCACTGGAGAGGTAAGAAGGAGAGGAAGCCTGGTTCTTAAGGCTTAACAGCCGTTTTAATTCCCACAAAACAAGGTTTATAGTCTACGCGTGAGTGTGTGTGTGTGTGTGTGTGTGTGTGTGTGTGTGTGAGTGTGGGCCAGATTATAAAGCTGTGTTATCTCAATCTTGGCCTCTGGCCATGGAGCTTCTATAATCCATGCAGAGCTAAATATTATAATGTTACTGCACCAGCATGCAATATCACTGGTTAATTTCAAGGCTGTATAAATATTTCCAATTTCTAATAAAAGGTACTGTATGTGTAAGGACTTTTTTCTTATATAATATTTCGTCATTATTCTGAGTCAATGGCTCAGGGGAATCTGATGATTTTACTTTTTTTTTTTTATGTATCAGTGATAAAAAGAGTGGATTCCTACCAAGCAATGTTTCCCAAATCTCTCCTCTAGTACCCCCAGACATTCCATTTATTTGATATATTCCAGTTGTAGCACACCTGATTCAACTAGTCAACTAATCACCAAGCATTTCATTACAGGATTTGAATCATGTAATCTGGTTCTGGAATACATCAACTCTGACCTCATGATTTTCCCACACCAAGGTCACACTCAAGTGGATCACAAAAATGTCCCAATCCACCCAGATATTACCACTTCCACATATAAATAATGACATAATACATGTATCATTCAAAAAGCTCTTACCTTGTCAAGACAGCACAGTGGTGCTCCATGTTTTACTCCCGTCTAGGAGCGAGGGGCGACGCAGGGCTTTAAGAGCAGACAGACAGATAGACAGACAGAAAGCAGTGGGTGAGGTAGAGGAGCAGAAGGGGCCACAGACATGAACCTTAGCTTATTTCCCCCTGAAGCTCAGTCCTGGTGCTGGGAGAGCATGGTGAGGACTGACTGGTGGGACCAGGGCTGGGGATGCTCAAACTGGGGCTGAAGACACATAAAACCTGCTTCAATGGATTCCCATTGGACAGGGGCTATTCAGGAGGTGGCGACTAGGTTTTATTACCAACACTTAAAAGACATGTTGGAGGCCTCTAGGCCTTCCCTTCCTCCTGTTACACCTTTTCCTCTCCTCCCTCCCTCTCTCTCTCTCCTTCACTGTGCCCCATAATGATATGTGTTGGCTGTGTGTAATTCTGTTAATAATTACGTTGCAGGTTAGGGATAGGGATGCCCTAGGAGAGTGTAGAGTGATGGAGGAATGAGGATTTCATAATCGTGTAGGTCCTTTACTGTACCCGAAGAATGCCTCTATAGTGTTGAGGTGAGGAAAGACCTGGTTTTTAATTTAAAGGTCCTGGTCCACACAGACAGGGTTGTTTGCTTGTACATGTTTTATGTAATGGAGTGTGTGATTGGCTTTTTAGAAGACTTGGTGATAGATATACTGTATGTTTAGCTGTTTGTTAAGTCCCAGGGAGAACTACAAAAGGTCTGTAAATGTAACATCACACAATAATAACCTATTATGTTTGTCACAATATTTTCTATTACATAGCTGTACATAAGTATATTGCATATCTGTCACGTGAAATTGATCCTAACTGATTCAAGTACTGTATGTTTAGTCATAACTACATAATAGTCAATCAAAAAACTAGCTATCCTATCAAGTATCAGAGAGATTCCTAACCTCAAAGCCAAGTTACATAGGCCCACTAGGCTAAAAATGTCCGCCCCTGCTGAGAGGAACTGTCTGGACTTTTACAACAACAAGTTTAGACTTTAGCTCAGCCTGTTGACACAGTCTTGTGGCACGCAGGAGATTTGGGTTTGAACTCAGTTGTTCAAACACAGAAGTTGTATCTATTGTTGTGTAATTCTACAATGTAAAATAGAAATACTCAAAACACCATGATTGCATAATAAAACCATGAAAAGTAGTGCACCTAACCTGAGATCTGGTGTTTGGAGGGTGTTTATAGGTAAACCCAATGTAAGTGTTATGATACACAGAAAGTGTTTTAACCTCTATGTGATCAGTGTCCCGTATATGGGACGGTTGAGCTAACGTGCGCTAATGTGATTAGCATGACTGTTGTAAGTAACAGCAAACTTTCCAGGACAGACATGTCTTATATGGGCAGAAAGCTTAAATTCTTGTTAATCTAACTGCACTGTCCAATTTACAGTAGCTATTACAGTGAAAAAATACTATGCTATTGTTTGAGGAGAGTGCACAACAAAAAAACGTATCACGGCAACTGTTTTGATACATTCACCTCTAAAGGTAAATAATGTACTTACATTCAGTAATCTTGCTCTGATTTGTCATCCTGAGGGTCCCAGAGGTAAAATGTAGCATAGTTTTGTTTGATAAAATCAATTTTTATATTCAAATGTAGGAAATGGGTTCTACAGTTTGAACCCCTGCTGTCTCTGGCTCCACAGCCACCCCGCCCGGCCATCTAGATGTGGGAAAGTTAGTATATAAGCTAATGATCCATCATGTATGACATTCCTGGGAGTGTGTAAACTTACATTTTGTATTACCATATCATTTTTGTATGTTCTCTATAGTTATGTACTTGAAAATGTATCAATTGACCAATTCGGCACATTTGGGCAGACTTGATACAAAATAGTCCAGTATTGTAATGCTTCACTGGATCAATCTGAAACTTTGCACACACACTAAATTGGGCCTAAACTACAATATTATATTGTGGCCTTTCTCTTGCGTTTCAAAGATGATGGAACAAAAAAAAAGAAAACACGTTTTTTTGTTTGTATTATCTTTTACCAGATCTAATGTGTTATATTCTCCTACATTCATTTCACATTTCCACAAACTTCATTTGTTCAACTTGTTTCCTTTCAAATGGTATTAAGAATATGCATATCCTTGCTTCAGCTTTGGGTATGTCATTTTAGGTGAAAATTGAAAAAAAGGGTCAGATTCTTTTAAAACAGAGTAGAAGTACTCTGAAACACCCAAAGTGGTTCTTCAATCTGAATATTGGTGTTTTTAAGAGAGTATTGCCAAAACACGTTTTGGGGTTTCAGTGCATGTAAAAGGCAGCATCAAAACACACCCAGAAAAGTTTAGGGGAGACTGTGTCTCTCATACAATCAAATGATTTTGAAATGCAAATGGTTTATAGCCTAAATATTGATTGATGGAGAATATTTTTGTGTGGAATTCCAACATATATTTTTTGAATGCTTTATTTAGAGAGATTAGAAACAGGAGGAGACAGAGAAGGAGTGAAAGTGGGACAGGTAGAAGCAGAAATTCAACCCATGAATTCTGGGGCAGTGAAATCGTACATTTCTTTGGAATTTCATTGGAATTTTACACACTCAACCACATAGAGAACATTTTTGTGATTTAACTGATTGGAACTTTGGTTTTAATCTCTTTGCACTTCCTAATTTGCCACGTGGCAATGTTTTTAGAGGATTGTGGGTAATTCAACATTTGACTTTATGATTATTTTACACAATGTTGTATGCATGTTTGAACAAAGAAAATGATACATATTAGTATTATGCAGCTTGTTGTACCATGAGGTGTAATGGATCATGATGAACGGATATCAAAACCATCAGGCAAAATGACGTTCAATGATGAGACGACCCATTTCCATATTTCCAACTTTTAATGGTAGAGGCAAATACAGTAAGTATCCTATAATACTTGCTGTAAAACCTCTAGTGCACTGTGCACTGTGTTCAACAATGCCTACAAAAATGGGTTAAACTGGTAAATAATCAGATACATAAATCAATGTTAAACATTAATATACTCCAGAAGAAGTTATCTAATTCTGCACTAGACAGGATTTGAAACATCACAATGGTGATGTTCCCACGGGGGGCCAGTATAAAAAAAAATATGTAAGTCGCTCTGGATAAGAGCGTCTGCTAAATGACTAAAATGTAAATGTAAATGTAAATGTGTTTTCAACCTTTTCCGGTAGTGCTCCCAGTCCCTGGCAAGGTGTTGCGCAACACTTGATTAAGTGGTGTTACAACACACCATGCCAAGTTTCAAAACATCTCAGGATGATGTGTTTCAATACTCCAGCAAAGTTAACGTTTTGTACCCTTCACATTGGTGGCAGCTCAGTTGCCACTAGTTTTGCTGTTATAAAGCACTTCATTTTAATAGTCTAATGGACTATGTGTAGCTCAAGCTTTGATAGATTGCTGGCAAAGGCCATTTACAAAGGCTCAATGACCCCCCCCCCCCCATGTAAATGGTTATACATCTGTTATAGCCTAGTGTAGAAATTGTGACCTATGAGTAGCCTGGCCCTACACTGTAAAGGAACTATATGCAGCCAGTCAGTCTCAATGCCAGCTCTGATGATGGTCTTGCTAAACGCAGGACTTCTGTTTAAGAGAGAAACACATATTTCACTCCGCAGGTCCTAACAGCACATATAGATAACTATATAGATAACTACAGGAAGTGTTTATACCTTTACCAGATGGTTCTAGATCCTTCTGGTCACATTACTCTATCTACACACCTGCAATCCCTCTTCTGTCAGATGCATAGGGGATAATGATGGGTAGAACATGTTAGAGATTGACCCTGGGCCCTTAGATAAGACTATACTACAGAGAGAGAGAGAGAGAGAGAGAGAGAGAGAGAGAGAGAGAGAGAGAGAGAGAGAGAGAGAGAGAGAGAGAGAGAGAGAGAGAGAGAGAGAGAGAGAGAGAGCAAGAGAGGATGGGGAAGAGGAACTATGAAAGTGGAAATGAGATGCACAATAGCCTACAGATGTTGAGTCATTGGGGAATGTTATTACTGGTACCTGAGATAACTCCACGATTCTGAGGAAGCTGTCATGTGACATCAACACATCAGTAGGCTATACCTGTGTAGGCATCAGATCACAGAATAAAGCCTGAGCATGATAATATATATATATATATATGCCTGTTTATGAGTGCTCCAACCTGTTTACCAGGAATTTGTCTTTAAAAAAAAGTTTTTATTGGGTAAACCCTATCACTAGATTACTGTCATTGTTGTTGAGCACTCTTCCTACTTATTTTGTTTACTGAAGAACAGAGGCCTACCTTAACTCATAACTCCATGACTTGTTGGCTATTTTCCATCCCATAATAGCCTAGTTGTTGTTGGATACACCAAACTAAGAAATGCTAACAATCCAATGACTGTAAACATAGCCTATTGTATTTGTGTCAATCTTGATGGTGAAAGTTGTCAGGTGGACTAGTTCAGGTGTTTAATTTCTCAGCCGGCGGTGACGTCAGCCCGTCAATTGTACGCACAGTGCAAAAGCATGCAGCACCATCGCAGGACACTGGCCCACCCGTGCATGCTGACTGTTAATATTCTCCCGAAACGATGTGTCAACCACCGGACAAAGGATAAACAAGAAGCTAAACCACGAGACAGGCCAGGCGCACCACTTAGACAAATTGAACATTACTGTCCTGATGGGGGAAACGTAAGCTAAGCTAGGAGGCTGATATCTAGTGGTTTGCACTGCAGAAGAAGAGGATACAGGGGCTGAATGGATAACCATGGCAACAGCAGCAGCAGCAGGAGAAGCGCTGAGCAGCAGCTTACAACAGTGATATAAACACTGAACACAGACAAGACATCATACATCCGCAGACCGGAAAGGCAAGGGTCGCTGCAGGTTGTGAAGCCAAAGCCTTGTGGATATTAGACAGTGGTGGACACTGGGTATTGCGTGGGTATTCGCAGCGCAGCAGTGAGCAAGGTAAGGTTTGTTACATTGTAGCTAGCATCCTCATTGTCCATCACAGTGCAGTGGGACAGACGGAGAATATAACCGGCCGGCTGTTGCTTGCTGCTGTATTGTGAAACTGAGAATGTTTTGACAAGATTGTATCAGACCTGGCCGCTACATTGTTGCCAAAGCTCCCGCTCATAATTTAGTTGAGGTTAAAGGGTTGATATCTATAATA